GTATGCACGCAGCACGGGCGGGCACCCAGATCTTGGGCTGGGCAGTGGGAGCTCGAACGATGAGGAAGTACATGCAATTATTTCCAGGTTCCAGTTGCTTGAATCATTCTAGCGTTGATTAGTAATGGCGATTCATCACCCTCAGAGACACCCTGAGACATCCGTGAGGAGTTTTCTCCGTGAAGCATTTCTGTCTAGTGAAGCTTTGATAGCAGTCGCTCGAACCTAAACAGTCAACTGAACAGTTCAACTACACCACCATGCCACCAGAAGCTGGACGACCCTATGTTTCGAAGATATGTCACATTTGTCATCGTACCTTTGTGAGAGGCGAGCACTTACGGCGACATTTGCGAACACGTGAGCGCTCTATTTACTCCATTGCCTTTCACCCGAATTAATGTAGGAACCTGCTGTAGACACCAAAGAGAAGCCGTATGGCTGTCACTGCGGTCAGTCGTTTGCAAGACGTGACTTACTCACTAGACATGAGCGACTCTACCACTCTGCTGCGCCTGAAACTTATATGGCGACTCCCGCATCGCCTTTAGACTCGGCTCTTAACTTGAGCACCGCGGGTGTCTGGCTTCCCGGCGGCGATGGTTCAAGCACCAGTTCACACAGCGAGCTCCAGCGCAGCACCATCGCCAACAAACCACCTAGTCGCATGCTGCCAGTTCCAACACCGACCGAGTCAAGCACATTCATTGCCAACGCCGAGCTTCTGGACCCTCCTTCTCCTATGGAAGCCATGCTCGACATATCCGATTTCTTCGATTCCGTGGGACTTGACTTCGAATACGGATTTGATTTCTTTGGCCCTGGCGACGACGTGCCCGCAGGGCTGTCTTCGGCCACGGAGATTGTCTCGACTAGCGAGCCCGGCCAACAAGAGAACAACGAAATTCCAAATACAGGGTCGAATTTGGAAGAGGCACTTGCAGAGCATTTGTGTAAATGCATTCCTAATGGCGATACAGGAGAGGGTAAGCTAAAGTTTCACCTCTCTGCAGATACCATATTCTTACATGCTTGAATCAAATAGACGATTTCTGTGAACTGAAGCCCATATCACAACCCTGGAAAGTCAACGAGGCCCAAAGACTTATGTTTCAAGAGTATCTCAAGTCTTACGCATCCTGTCTTGAATCCTTTAAACTGCCCTCGAGATTATCTATGTCAAGATACATCGCCGGTTTTGTGGATGGTTACAGCAATCACCACCCTTTCATTCATATGCCCACTTTCTGCGTCACCAAGTATCACGACTCACCAGAGCTGGTACTAGCTATGATGGCGATCGGTGCGCAGTTTCGCTACGAGTCTCGCAATGGTGCTGCACTATACCGCGCAGGAAGGGCAATTATACTGCACCGGCTCAAATCCGGGCAGTTTTCCGTCCAGCCAGCAGCTCCTGCTGTTGATCAGGAATCGTTCCTCGCAGCTGCCAACACAGAAACAGACTGCCAGTCTCCAAGCGCCCGCATGGAGAGCATCAAGGGTATACTGTTGCTCGCTACTTTCGCAACATGGCAGCAGGATCGAAGTCTTGTCCGGGAGTCGTTCGAGTACCAAGGCCTCCTGGCAAGATGCATCCGTGAGAGCGTATTGACGGAGACGCTTGCGAACGATGGGAACGACTGGCATGTATGGGCCAAAACCGAGTCGGACAGAAGGGTGAAGCTGGCGTCCTTTTGCTTTTTGAACCTCCAAAGCCTAGTGTTCAACGTACCGCCTGTTCTGCTTGGTAATGAGATCTTTCTCAGATTGCCAGTGACCTGCGATGAATGGCTAGCACCGGGACCGTCCAGGTGGCGTGAAGCTCGCTCCAAGGCAACGCCGGTGATCTCGTTCCAAGAGGGGTTTGTCCCACTGATTCACAACCGTCCGGAGAAAATTCCAGCCACCTCCCCGTTCGGCAATTTTGTCCTGATGCACGCGCTTCTTCAGCGCCTCATCGTGTCTCGACAGCTTTGTCTGGATCCTCAAGGACCGGGACTCTCTCCACATGAAGTAGCGAAGTTTGAACTTTCACTGCATCGATGGCGAGAGCAGTGGTGCAAGGCCCCAGAATCCGTCCTGGACATCCGGAATACCAAAGGCTCGTTGTCGTGGACAGCAACATCTTTACTAGGGCTGGCTCACATTCGCCTACATTTTGATCTTGGGAACAAGCGACAAATCTATTCTGGGGACCCTCAGTCTATCGCAGCAGCTGCATTTGAAGCTCGGCCACCTGAACGTGACCTACGCCTTGTGTTTGCCCTCCTACACGCCGTTCATGCCCTGAACATACCGGTTCAGCTCGGCATTGACTACCTGGCTAATTGCCAAGCGTTCTTCTGGAGCCTGCAACATAGCTTTTGCTCATTTGAGGCAGCCGTGTTTCTCAGCAAGTGGCTTTTGGTACTCGCCGATGGCCCCGATGTTGGAAGTATGCATTGTAAGTTGAATTTCATGCAGCAACACCCGCTGGCACTAAAACTTGGATCTAGTCAAAGAAAGGCAAATAATCAGATGGTTAGAATTCATCGTAAATGAAGCACTGGCCTCCGTCGACGAAATGCAGGACACTCTCCAGAGTCCTGACAGCCCAATAACAACGCATTCTTTGAGGTTTCTTGGCAATATGGTCATCAAGTTATTCGCAAAAATGTTCCAGAGATGCAATAGCGCTTGGCCCATTATGAGGATCGTTGGCGAAAGCCTCCACGAGTACTCCAAATTTTTAGACGGAATTTCCGGACCGGACATTTCAACTTCGACAGGCAGCTTTAGTCGTGCGGTTTCGAATTAGTCGCAGGTTATTCCGCGGCACTGGATCGACCGAGACCAGGATTGAACAAGCCGAAGCACCTATGAAGTTGCCAAGCAATCCGGAAGGATATGGGACGACGAGAGGACGAGCTTATGTAGATCATTAGTTGATCTTGATAAAGAGGCAATCATACTGATCTTTCCATCCCTATATCTAGTCTTCCGATGAACAGCTGGTGCAACTGATGTCTCTGCATTGACATTCGTGGGCCAAACATGGATCAGACGACGATCAAACCGCAAGTGGCCGACCAACCCGTTCGGATGGCAGCTGCCATCATCCGAATCAGATGCATCGTGGAGAAGATCGTCGAAAAGTGACCATGATTCGACCAGAGCTTTGACTTTTTCCGAGGCGAGTTTCAGTGAGCCTGGCATTGCCTCGAGAATTATGGTTCCTGTCATACGGGTCTGTATCAAGTTCACCGAAAGCCGCGAAAAAACACGCCGGCCCATCGAATGAACGGCATCCCACAGCTGCTGCGACTTTGAATTTGGCAGAGCATGTCGGGTTACTAGGTATGTAAGTGTTGACATCCTCGGAGTTTTCAATGTTGTCATCTAGTCCTTCACTGACAACTTCACGACAATTCCAAACATTCACTTTGCTGTGCAAACTCTTTCGCTTCTTCGACCTGGTGTCATTATATTTCTTATTACTATTCAATCATTTTCAACTATTAAATAACTTTCACTCAACTACCGCGAAAATGGTCCGCATCACTCTCTTCACCACTCTCGCTCGTGAGTGCACTCGGTCCATACCATCTTCAGGAAATAACAGCTAACCCGATGCAGTCGCCATGACGGCCTTCGCGCAGATCAAGCCCAACAACGCTGGTGCGAGCAAAGTTGGCAAGGGTGACGGCTCTCAGTTCATCACGGGCGGATGCGTCAGTGACGCCGACTGCTCTTCCGCGTGCTGCGCGAACGCCAGCGGTGTCGGCGTGTGCTCCGCTGAGGCGGCGCAATTCCAGAACGGCAAGAATGGCTGCGGTTTCGACGACCCCAACGCCGCTGCAACCATTGCTGCTGCTCAGGCCCAAGCCAAGAAGCAAGGTTTCTAAGCTGGAAATGCAGAAACTAGGGCCGCTGGGGGATTTCGCGCTGTCGAGCCATGGGGAGGCGAAGCTCCACGCAGGAAAGCCACAATGACCTTGGTTTAGCAACCGAAAACAATAAAGCCCAAAGTACACAACCATTCGAAACAATTGAAGAATACTCCCCGGATGTGATCAGCGCTCAGTTTGAAACTTACTTGACAAAGTATCGGACGCATATATCAGTCACGAGTACCTGGATATCTTTCCGGACATACATCTTCATACTTCATATTTGGGCAGCGGGCTGAACACCTCGTTGCTTAGGAGACACCCGGTAACGTTCATGTCCTGTCGAGGTTTATTAGCTACTTCGCCCGAGCTTTGAGTGCGTGGCGGAACTTTTCAACCCCCTCCTCGTCGCACTGGCTCGTACTCTGTACCACCAATAATAAGCGGCATTACATTTTAGGCAGTTGACAACTGAATGGACCCTAAGCGAGCCGAACCGCCAAGTCGCTACTGCTGTTTGAGGTTGAGAAGGGTATGCCAAGCTTGTGAGGGAACCTCCTAAATCGAGGCGGCATTTTGTAATCCTCGGGTCTGTGTTACTTGATTGAAATCTTACGACGTCCTCGTTACTTGACACAGTGGAAAGCAATGAGGTACGTGAGAAGTAGTTTTCCATTGGCCGATCTTTTAGCTTTAAATGACGAACAGCCGAGCCTATGCTGAATCTGGAAGCTAGAAGTTGCTTGTTCACTTGGCGACCCGTTTAAGCTTAAAAACAACACGTCTCCTGCCCTATGTTTCTCCTCGCTCCGGCCAAATGCCACCATGCCGATGTTTGCCCAGAGCGCGCTACTAAGCGTTGCAACGTCGGAGACTAATCGAGATTCCTCATCTGGCAGCTGGGGAATATCGCGGTGATCACTGGCTGCACCATCCGACGATGGAGCCGTTGAATCCCCGCACCGTTATGGAAAGTTTGGGTGAATCAGTCGTTCGACGCCACAGACTTGTGGCCAACACAGAAGGGTATATAGGCTTGCTGGCATTCCCTAGAAAGACGAAGTTAGCGATGCCTCTTCACTGTCGCCGCCCTTCAATACTCGACGTCGAGCACGCTCAAGAACAGACAAGATGCGCTTCATTGCAACCCTCGCTCTCACCGCGGCCTCATTCGGTTTCGTGGCTGCCGCCCCTGCCACCGAGGCCCCTGTTGCGGACAAGGCCGACCTGAGGCTGATCAAGACATCCGAAGAGGACGCTGGCACATGGGTTACTGAGGACGAGAAGTTCGAGAAGTACACCTCAAAGGGGATTGGCTTCATCGACATCACCGATATCACTGTACGTCAATTGGCTGGTCATTTTCTACACCGGGCTGCGCGACGATGATTCTCCAAACATAGTCTTTCCGACGTAGTCTCAGTTGACGTGCAATGCTGATGAAACCATAGGACGAAGAAGTCTTGGCCGCCCTCTCCACCGCCGATGATGTTCAGATTTCCAAGCTGTCCGCCCGCCAGGCGGTTACCTACCCCACAACTCTAACCCATATCACTGAGGCCAACTCGCTCATCAGCCGCGTGAGCAACAGTGGTCCTCAATCCTGGCTGAAGACCTTGACAGAGTATGTGAAAAGCAGAAGAACTGGAGTTTGGATGTCAAATCGAAACTAATACACACTGCCTGAAGCTTCAACAACCGTCACTACCGATCCACGACCGGTGCTCAAGCTTCCACCTGGTTGTACAACCAAGCTGTGAGCATTGCTTCTGGCAACTCTGCCATTACCGTGTCTCGATTCACCCACTCTTTCAACCAGCCTTCCATTATCGTCAAGTACCCCGGTACTACTTCCGATCTGGTCATTGTTGGAGCTCACATGGACTCTACCGCTGGATCCTCGACTGCTCGCTCTCCTGGTGCTGATGATAACGGCTCTGGCACTGTCGTCGTTCTCGAGGCCCTTCGCGTGCTTGTTGCTGTTGGTTTCAAGCCCAAGAACACTCTCGAGTTCCACTTCTACGCCGGAGAAGAGGGTGGCCTTCTCGGCTCTGCTGGTGTCTTCTCTAACTATAAGTCTGCCGGTAAGCGTGTTCTTGGTATGCTGAACCAGGACATGACTGGCTACTCCCCCGGTGGTAAAGCTACTGTGTACACCGACTATGTCGACGCCGCCTTCACGGCCTATGTTCGTCTTATTACTACTCAGTACACCGGTGCTACACCCGCTAGCTCCTCTTGCGGCTACGGATGTTCCGATCATGCCAGCGCTAGGTCCAACGGATTTCGTAAGTGTTTTAGGCGTTTGTGGAGTGAAATGCAGCTAATCAAATCCCAGCTTCTGCCTTTGTCAACGAGGAGCCTTTCGGCACTGCCAACCCCAATATCCACACTTCCAGAGACGTGAGTTATGAATCACTATTGGTTGAGATCCACCACTGACACGTACGGTTACAGACATACGAGAGCATCCAATGGAACTCAGTTCTGCGTCACTCCAAGCTTACTGTCGGCTTCTTGGTGGAGGCTTCTTATCTCTAAATGCGACGATGAACGCATTCAGCATGTACATTTACCACCTACTCAGTATTGAACATACGCTTTCATCTCGGTTTATCTTGACTGAATTGGGTCGATGTTCCAGACAGTCCCTTTACCACCGGTCGTCGTCAGTGAAAATGAGGCGCCCAAGCTTCGTCGTCGCTCTGATTTTTAGCCGCGAACACAGTTTTCGTGATTGATTACATTCACGAGCCACCCTCACGCGTTGCCCTCTGGTCTTGTCATTTAACGCCATTTTTATGCCCTTACACATCTTTGCCTTTTCATGCATTCTATGTGCATTATGCTCTACGTTGATAGGCAGTCTGTTTACCCGGAATCTCGTGCCCCTATCATGCGGTATCAATGACATGTAGACTGCTCTGGGCGTGCTGTTGGCGGACTTGAGGAAATCTTTCCTTGACAACGGAAGCAATCCCTTCCAGAGTCACACACATGTAGCTTCTCAGGGTCTTCGTTTTCTGAGGCAAAGACGAGGAATGCTCTTTTGACTCGTCGTAAGCTCAAGGGCTAGGACCCAGTTTCACATTCAAAAGGGATGCTGGTGCATACGTCTTGAACTCATCACAGCTAGGCCGTAATCGGCGACTTGATGTTGGATTTCTGATTTTCTGTTGCCGGGATTCAACACGTCTTCCTGCGATATAAACGACGGAAGTACTAGATGTCAACCGGGAAGCCATATGTATCGTGGAACAAAATCAAGAACAAAAAGAAACCTTAAAATGCTTTCCAAAACGCCTTAAAAGCCTTGAACAAACGGTAATCTGCAACTTTCAGCAGGCAGTCTGAGTTTAATTTAGTGTTATATACAAACCTTCTTCCCTTCTAACTTTTCGCAGTTTGCCGCCTGGAGGCGCACTTGTTTGACTGTATCTGACTGACAGGGAAATATCGAGGACTAGGATAGCCTCATATCGTACAGAAAGCCTGCGGTATGTGCGGCGGTGAACTTTCTTGCACGTGTCGTACGGGTCGTGCCTCAAAAAAGGGACGTGCTATATTGGACTGCAGCTTTCAACAACGTCTCGGCTTGAGGCGCGGCGGAAACATCAATATCGCGCAGGAAGATTGAAGTAGCTTACGAAAAGCTTTAGCTTCTGATCATGTATGCATTCATGAACCTCTTTCTAATCTTGGGTGCACCTCTCGCCGCCTCGCGTGGAATCAATGTCGTACGTTCAAGTAGGAGCCAACCGGTGTTTGTACGTACCTCATAAAGGTTGAGACTGTTCAGTCCTGTTCGGGATTATCGAGTGGCCAATTTGAGACCAGGACACATGAAGAAGTTGTGTTAAAAACATTCAGAATCATTTTCCCGTTGCCGTTGAATCTGCGTAGGAAAGAAGATCCGCCCAAGAACGGTCATCGAATCGCTCATTCGCTAACACTACCTAAGACTGTTCACAGTATTTATGAAGTCCAAAATGAGCGTCTCCGTTGTCATCAGGCCGGACATCAGCAATGATATGACCGGGAAGCACGTCACGTAATCGGACTAACAAAAGGCGCACATCGGTGCTTCCGGCGCTGGGCATGTCTTCGCCACTATTCATGGCCCCCAAGCTCCACTGTCGCCATCCTTCAGGCTTCTCAAATTGATCTACTGATGGGTGTCGTTGACTCTCGCGGCCTAATTGCTTGGCCGATGTTCCTTATCGGACTTTGGGTTCAAGTCAGCCGTGGAGGATGGAGAGCTGTGTGAATGGTAAGTTGTCTTCAGCGTTAAATAACGATATTAAGTTAATCTAATAGTGATTCATCGAAGTCCTTACAAGGCTTTCGAAGGTTGGCATCCTGATAGTCAAGCGGCAGCAGAAAACACGAGCTGGCAGTCACTGGTGTTTACGGTCGCGTGCTTTGCCCGATCGAAGGACTCTGGAAGGATTCAGTTGCAGGGTTCTATAGTCACTGTAGAACAAACCCTAGTTCTCAGCTGCACCGCCTTACGTATGTTCAAAGGCTCAACGACAAATGAGCGGCTTCAGGCTTTACTGTCGATCGCCTTACCCGTTGGCCGATTGCTTATACTTGGCAGGTTTAGCACTTGCATTGATATCGGATCAATGAGCCGGGGGAGAGACTCTTGACATTCTGGCAAATCAGTTTTCTTCGGCGTAACATACCGGACACACAAGACTGGCAGATCGGGAGGAGGCGATTGCGAAGCCTTTATCACGCATACACTAGTGCACTGTTGATAGATCGCCAAGAGTCCAGGATGAGAACGCGCTGTTATCAATGAAACGGAGCATCCAGCCACATCCCGATGCAACATCCGTGAATAGCGCGCTAGATTGAGCGGGAGCGGGGATTGTCAATCGGCCCTGCATCCTGACAGCACGACAACAATCTGGAACAGCTTAGCGTTCAGCCATTTCCCGTTTTTTCAAATGCCACGGGCGCTATTAGCTAAAAGTCTATTCATGTCAGGGAGTTTTGTGGGCTGAGGGAATGGCGACATCATCATGGGATAGATCGTCATGGGCATACTTTTCAGCGACTTTACGGCCGGTCCGAATGGCGTTTCTTGGCTTTCAGAGAACCTGAGAATAAGCTTCACAGGGCGCCCCATCCTGTGCCTGATTATGGCGAAGATGTCTGCGTACAAATTGCAGTGAGCATTTCTTTGGTCCAACGGTGAAGGCGAGCCCACTTTGCCTATCACGCAATCTCTCCCGAATCATGGAAGACGTCGGCAACGGGGAAGATAACACGCCCACTGCTATCTGCTCAGGTTGGGGTTACTGGGACCAGGGGTTGGGAGGTCCATCAAATGGCAATGGCGCAACAAGCTTTCCCAAGCTCGCGATACCTCTTGGCCCCGCCTTGGCCCCGCCTTGGCCGCTCGAGCCAGGGAACCCTTCCCAAAGGAGATGCATCGTACGCGGTGTTCGTCTCGAGTCGTCCGGGGTTGTTATCGATTCCGTGGGGGAGCAACGTTGCCGTTGATGAATTTGGGCATTGCTGGGTTGATCGGGCCAGGCCGCTGGCTGGGGCTGCCTCGCACTGCTCCTCGGCTGGCGCAATGTTGGTTGTTGTAGTATATAGGGGGTTGAAAGGCAGTCCCGGAGACTTGGATGTGCGCTTCACTCACTTTTGCTCTTTCTCGCTATCTTCACTGACAATCTCAAGATAGAAAGTCTGACACCATGTGTAAGCTATGATGTTATTCGTCTGTCGTCCAGCTTCCCACTGACACTGCAGTTCACAGCTGAGAACGTGGTTGGCCTCAACGTCCAGAAGGTTGTCGAACCTGACGCCGACCAGGGCGTTCACCCCGAGAAGAATCGAGAGAAAGTCGACCCGGAGGCCCAGACCAACTCCGTCGAGGCAACGAGCGTCGTCGACTATGAGACCTATCCACTCCCGACCGAGGAGGAGCGCTCGACGCTGCGCAAGGTCCACGACTCCATCCCTTTGACAGCATGGTCTCTCTGTGTTGTTGAGATGGCCGAGCGAGCCTCCTTCTATGGTGTCAAGGCCGCTTTCAACAACTACCTCCAGTTCCCGCTCCCCGAGGGCGGACCCGGTACGGGTGCCATCGACCCTAGCAAACCCAACTCTCACGCCGGCGCTCTCGGTCTTGGTCTCCGTACCGCTTCGGCGCTTGGTCTCTTGTTCACCTTCCTGGCCTATGTCATCCCCATCTTCGGCGCCTGGATCGCAGATGTCAAGATCGGTAGATACCAGGCTATCGGATGGGGTGTCTTCATTGGTGGTGTAGCGCACGTCATCATGGTTGGAGGCGCGGCTCCGGCCGTTTTGCAAGCCGGCAGAGGTGTCGCTCCCTTCCTCATCAGTTACTTCCTGGTAAGTTCTTTGTAACCTACAAGGCGTCAGTTCGTGAAGCTAATGGCTTTGGGAAGCTTGCTATCGGTGCCGGTATCTTCAAGCCGAATGTGGCTCCAACGGTCATTGACCAGTACAAGCACCAGAAGGAGTACACCAAGGTTCTCAAGACTGGTGAGAAGGTCATCGTCGATCCCGAGACGACCATCAGCCATATTATGCTCATCTTCTACGCCTTCATCAACGTCGGCGCATTCTTCTCGATCGCTGTCGTCTACATTGAGAAGTACCACAGCTTCTGGCTGGCCTACCTCATCCCAGGAATCGTCTACTTCCTGCTTCCGGTCTTGTTGGCTGCTACATATAAGCGCACCGTCAGGCTCCCGCCTCAGGGCTCAGATCTGAACCGCTTTGTGAAGATTACTGTCGCCGCGCTGAAGGTTAGCAAAGGCAACATTTTGGCCAAGAACTTCTGGCACAAAGTCCAGCCCAGCACCATCTACTCTGAGACCAGTCTCCGCGTCAGCTACTCCGAGAAGGACGTCGACGATGCGAGACGTACCTGGGAAGCTGTTCAGATCTTCCTCTACATCCCTATTTGGTACCTGAACGATGGTGGTGTTGGTAACGTCCAGAGCAACCAGGGAGCTGCCATGACTTCTGATGGTGCGCCCAACGATCTGCTTAGCCACTTCAACCCCTTGGTTATCATCGTCTTCTCGCCTTTCATGGCGCAGGTTGTCTACCCCTTCCTCAAGCGCAAGGGCATCAAGTATGGGCGCATCAGCCGCATGACGACTGGCTTCATCCTCGCTACTATCTCGTCCGTCATCGGTGCCATTGTTCAATGGAAGGTGTACGAGACCAGCCCTTGGTGAGTCCTGAAATATTTCCCACTTCACCGAATACTTTGCTAACATGATTTGGCAGCGGCTACTACGCCAGCGACTGCGATGGCGTCTCGCCCATTTCTATCTGGTGGCAGATTCCCAACGTTGCCCTGGGTGCCATGTCTGAGATCTTCGTCAACGTCACCGCGTACGAGCTGGCCTACGCCCGTGCTCCCGAGCACATGCGTTCGACGGTCGTCGCCCTCTTCCTCTTCATGACGGCGCTGAGCAGTGCTCTGGGCCAGATCTTGCTTCCATCGATCGCTGACCCGACTTTGGTGTGGGCTTGGGCTGCTCCCGGAGTCGCTCTGGCCGTGCAGACCGTCGTATTCTGGTTTAGACACCGTCACATGAACGACGAGGTCTTCATGACGTACAAGGAGGACTACCAGAGCGCCAGCTCGATTGAGAAGAAGAGCCTCGACAAGGAGGAGAAGTGAGCATCTGGAGGCTAGGTCCGGCTTTGTGGCGGTTGAAGAACTCTCATGGCAATGCTTATGAGTTAGCTATTCGAGCGTCGCACTTGCGCTTGGTTAATACGAAATAATGAACAGGAAAATCTACATCATCAGTGCCTATCAAGTGCTTTATTGCGCGCGAACCCGAATAATGCATTGTGTAGCCTCTCAAACCCCCGTGTCCTGTGGCATCGTGATTCCGTATTCTGTATGGTCATGCCAAGGCTAAATCATACGCTGAGATATTGATCTCACCGACTGCCTGGCAATGACTCGACCCCCGCCGACTGGCACCAGGGTTTTGAGTCGTCGCACTTCTGGGCACTATCAATAATTTCAGCGCACGCCGGGTCCAGTCAACCAAACCAATAACCTTAGGGAACCTAATCACGACAAATTGCTGCTCACTGACGTCACCGGAGAAGCCGTTTGAAACATTTCCTCCCGCCTTAAAGCTCCCGATTAACTGAGTTTACTTGATGCCAAGCTTTCAGTTGAATGGCCATTGACTTTGAACAGGGTGGTTTACGGGGAGTCAACCCCAGAGAGAAGTCAAGTATTGAGAGGTAACGCCGCAAATCTATGCTCAAAAGTCTATACAAATTGTCGCTGTGCGATATATGTGTTGAGATGTATGTTCTTGACGCAACTTACAGGAAGAACATGACGCTGTATTCTTCATTATTTATCCCGGCCTAGTCTTTCTTCGTCGTCTTCTGTCAACTCATAAGCAGGCCTGAAACCCGCGCCATTCTGGCCTTCTTTCTTAAGTTGAGGATTGGGATGGGTATCTTGAGTTCCGCCTAAACTTGTGTAGCCCTGGTACATAGTAAGCATGCTGGCAAGAGCATGCTCAAGTCCCGAACTTACCTGGTCATATAGTGGACAGTACGGAATTCCCAAATGACGGATAAACTATGAAAGTCATTAGCGGCCGTTCTGTTTGACCGAGGAGCGGATAGCGAAGTTGTCGGCCCGTCATATCAACTTAAATTAAGATCAAACTTACTGCCCAGATTTCGGCTGCGTACCAGGTTAGCTTTGTTTCTCCAAGTGGGCTGCCGATGCGCCCTAGGTCAGCGGCATCCGGAAGAGCCGGATTCTGGGGATAAGAGACGTACCATAGTGCCAGTCAATCACCGGATGCACCCGCATGAAGTCGGGCCAACCCGAGTCCGTAGGGTCGAAATGCGTCAGCTTCTCGCCGTGCGGGTCTGTCCTCCTCGTTCCAACAAATATCGCCTTGACGCTAGGTCGGTCTGCCAGATAAGCCTCCAGTCCTTGCTTCATGGACATTGCATAACGCTTCACATTCAAATGGTATATTGAGCTAGTCGTGGCGACAAAATCGTCTACCTCGGCGAACGGGTGCTTCGAAACGATGTAGACGGCTTGGAATTCGTCGGGGAAGGACTTGGCATCCGCAGCGCCATTCGAGCCATTTGAACCGTTGGTTTTAGAAGAGGGAAATCGACGCGCAAGACAGGCAAGTAGCATGATAAGGAGGACGAGACCTGGGATCATGAACAAGTCAGCATCCATTCGGAAAAGGATTTCCTGCGACCGGGAAACTTGGGAGACGATGCGCCGCCATGGGCCATCGAAAGCGGCGCATTTGACGCGAAGGGCCCGTCGAATGGATATATTCACTTACAGTCCTTGCCTCCGTTATAGGAGAGCGAGATCTGTTCCAAACTATCACACGTCGGCGCATCAGCAACTTGCCCGGACTGTGCCGAGGCACACGTGGTAGGGGTTACACACCTGTAGGTCGCTAACGCCTCGTCTACCACGCCCATTGATACGCGTAGCTGCTCCTGTACATTGCGCAGAACATCTGTCTTTGGGTCCTCGGCCAGGAAAGCGTCGACCTTATCTCGGAGCTCGACGCAGATATCGTGAAAGGAGCGGGGAGGCGACTCGGAAAGGTGGGGTTTCGCGGGGTAGCCGTTGGCCGCGGGAGCAGTGCTGACGGCGTGCTGGCCTTGGGCGTGAATCATGGTGACTCCAGGCGATAATCGAGAGGAATTCGCGTCGAAATTACCGGGTATATGGGGGTGGAGGAAAAGGTCGAACGTGGTGTCTTTTTTCGGCGGCGGCGGGGGAGGCATAAGACGGAAGACATTCGGTGTCCTCTCGGAGGCGGCGATGGCGGGGGACGTGCGGCGGGCGACATCTTTCCCATTTTGCCGGATCAGGCGGCTACCGCCTTCCGGAAGAGGCAAAGTCCGGCACGTGAAATTCTCCACTTGGCCTAGCGGCCCAAAGACCCCGAAAATGCAGGTAACGCCGTGACCAACCGTTCCTGACTCGGCAATCATTCATTCCTCTTTCTTCTCTCTTCAGCGTCGGCTCATTGTCCTGCATCTCGCCCTTCATCAAGGAGGCGAAGTCGCGCTCCAATCCTTTCAGTCGTCAATGAATCATGTTTCACAACCAAACATCCGCTTTCAACATCCAAAGACGGACAAGTGTCACCGTTTGCCGAAGAGGATGGTAACCTGAGACGCGTCTCTAAGACATCCATGGATGAAGTCATCATCCCGAACGCGTCAAACTCATCAAAAGTTTCACAGAGTACCTATTATGCATTTATTTTCATTACGAGTTTCCACATCACATCCTATTGTGTTGTGATGACCTGGTATCCCCAAACGCCGTGTTAAGAAGCAATCACAACCACCATCCAATGCCGTTCTCATCTTCGAGATCCAACACTTTCCTCGTCCTCCGGAGTCTCGGGCAACGAAAATCGATTCCTCGTCGGACTGGAGTAGGACTTCGGCGGCGGGCTTAGTGGCGTACCGACCTCTTCATTCGCCTCGCCAAACCCGTCAGACCCGTCATCCGATTCTCCTCCTGCTGTCAGAGCCGGGCTGATCGCCGTTCGGACCATAAGGCCACCTTCTGGTGAATGTTCAACCATCCTAGACCTTGGCTCAACTTCCATCACATCCAGGTAGTCTGGGCTTGTAATCGTTTGTTCGCTTGAGACTGTTGTCGTCGCCTTCAGTGGCCTTCGAGTGAGTCGAGTGCTCCCGCTTTCGTATGAAATCTTGTGGCTGTCCGTGTTCCTACCCATCACGCGGAGTAGAGGGCGGAGAGTTGGGATGCATACGCAGATGACGGCACAGCAGACCTCCACCTGTGACCAAACCAGGGCTGGAATGACATCCCACGTAACATCCGCCGTGAATACGTGCGTGATTGTCACTATCCTCACAATTGATATCGCCGTCGTTCTGTTTCGCATCAGCTCCGTCGCGAACACTTGGTGCCATCTTCACTCACATGAATCCAAGCCCGAAGCTCACCATCAACGCGACTTTGAGCATTGCTCTGAGCTTCAATCTGTGCCACATTGGAATCGGCATCAAAAAGATAATGATGTCGGTCGCCAGATGCACGGAGGATGTCGCCAGCCACCAAGCGCATTGGTCATATCTCTCTGCCTGGAAGGTGTCACCCCTCCAAGTTGGAGCCGCCATGACGATGGACGACACAACTACAGCGATTCCAAAGCAGCAGATAAACCCAAACATGATGTTGCAGATGAGTCGAAATTTCGGTACCGCGAACACCCGTCGAAACTGAAGTAGCACTGACATCTTGATTGCAATGAACGTGGCGCTATAGCACAAGGTAGCCCCGATCGTTATCTGTCCCAGAATGTTAGGGTAAAAGTCTTTGAGTTTTCTCTTTCAATCATCTCACCCTGCGGCCATCTTGTTGAACATCGATCGGGATGGTCCAGATGTGCATCCCAAGTCCTTTGGTCGTACCTTGCATTGGATATCAGCAATCATCCTGTCCACCAAAATCTCAACAAAACTTACATATGGAGAAAATGACACCAGTCAAGATGGCAAGTATCTGGGATTCTGTCAGAGGCCATGCTCACTCCGGTTCCATCGACTAAACTCACAAATGAGATGACAACGAGAGTATCGTCGGCGCCCCAGCTCTTGATGACTATTGCCCGTACGTAGGCCCGCAGTAGGACGAACATCAAAGTGACCGACAAGCATACCGCAGTCGAAACAATGAGCCAGCTCGCTCGGCTGGCGTCCGTGTACGGCGGGGTCTCATCGCCAGACGTGATTGCCGACTCGTTATGCATCGTGGCCATGCGTCGTCTCCAATCACCACTACCTGGTGGGAATAACGATGCGTCCTGAGCCCTCTCCTTCAAATACAGGCTTGTGGCGGAGGTAGGGAAGCTGCCGATTTGAAATCCGTGCAGCAAGCTGCGCACGAATGATGTTGATGACGGCCAGGCTGCGACGAAACTGTGTGCTTTCTGCAGGATGGAGCCGGGGAAGTGCTCCGCTGAACGGCGACATGAGCAGGACGCGACCACGTGTATATGAAGAGGGCAGAAGAAAATCTGGAACAACATGGGGCTGGGGCTGTCATCACGCACTTGACCGTGTTCAGCGAGTTTTCTGCCCGTGGCGTGGGAACATCGTATGTCTCACCGCATGCGGAAACGCCACGAGCGATCCCAGCACCATCAGGGACGGGCAGCTGAATCGGTGGGCGTCATATTTACGGGCAAAATCCGACCTTGATTCGAGATTTTGCATATGAGAAGCCGCTAAACACTTGGCATTGCTGTCAGAAGTTCAGATGCACAGGAACCAGCCAACCACGAGAGTCGACCAGCTCAAACTTTCCAAGCAGACACATTAGCCCCGGATTGATGTGCAGGGGCGCTCGACCTTGAGCCAAAGGGACAATGGTGCTCCAGAGGCTACTCCATAACGATCTCGTTCTCCTGAGCCGTCTACCGGAGCAGATACCCGGCCCACCGGGTCGATGTTGGGGCTGGACTATCGGCTCATAGCGCCAACTCCGATTTGCCCGAACTCGCCTGGCACATCCATTGGCATGCGGCGACCAAGTGTCTCTTTCGAGCTACTAACGGTGGCAAGGTTAGCCAGAATCCAGGTGGGACAGTTTCGGGCAAAATTATTGATCATTGCTGTTTAAATACGGTTATTATAGCAGCCATTGAGCAGCTCAAACTGACATTACGACGATGAAAACTAATACACCTGGACATCTTAGAGCTTCTCCTTTCCGATGGTTTGAGAGATGACTTTGAAAAGGGCGAGTGCTGGAAGTGCAAGCCAGTATCATAGCTTCGGAGTTGACCTGGGTAACCACTCACCCACTCAACGTAAGCACCAACAGTCTGACTGTGGCTGCGGATTCCACACTAAGATCTAGCCATAGCTTTCAAAGGGGGCCGAGTATGCCACCGGCAACAATGAACATGCGCCACACAGAAGTCCGATTATGTCGTAACTGGGGCCTTACCTAGGAGGCGGCAATACCTATACTGGAATCGGCAGATCAACGGCACCAAAGCCTACGTTATATGTCAGCGCCCGCACCCAATGACATGGAGATGGGCTGCCTCTCACACGTTGACGATGGCTCACAAGATATCATCGCCCGTTATTCAAGGCCCGGTAATCCACAGAGCACGCTTGGCGTTTCTTGCTCGACAGGAATGACAGGCATTTTAGCCTAGGAGCCTTTGCTCTCCTTGAAGTAGAGGACAGATGCTCCGTTCACCATCGGACCGAGCCCAGTGCTTTCTTAAGGAAATAGCTCTTTCATTATTCATTCTGTATGGCTCATATATACAAGCTGTCTTCGCTTTATATCATTTTCTTTCAGGCGGCAAATCTAGAGTTGAGGGCGTTCCACTCAGTCTGCGTTAACGGTGTGACTGATCCATGCTTCAATCCGCTTGGAAACCCAGAGGTACTTGAAGCCTGCCAGTTAGGTGATTGGATGTTGCTCGTCTGGAAGGGCACATATTGTGTGTAATCGTCGAGCAAAAGATGGTACAGGCCGGGCGTCGTGTTATCCGCGAATGCTGCGGGGCCCTCACGCGGGCTCTCGTTCCGAACATATCCCGGAATACGCGTCCAGGTTCCAAAGAGACCACCGGTGGTAACCTCCTGGTAGACTTGGTTGGTAGTCTCGTTCTTCAGGAAGCGAGCAAAGCTTCCAGGTGTGCCGAGATACTGGAACTCTTGGTCAATGAGAGGGGTGTCGGCGAGGGCAACGTAGTCTCGGGCGGCGCTGAAAGTGACAAAGTCCTTGGTGGCCGTGTAGCGAATTCGATCAAGCGTTGCGGTGCCGGTGTGACCGGTGTCGGTTGAGCGGTAGTGTCTAGACGCCCAGAAGACGTACCAGTGGGCCTTGTCGGCATCCCAGACGGCAGAGGGCGCCCAAACCATACCAGCCGTGTCGGCTTCGACGCTGAAAAAGGTGTGAGCATTGATGATAATATTTCATTTGAAGTACTTACATTCTCAGAGTGGGGGCAGACCAGTCAATCAAGTTAGTCGACTTCCAGACAACAATACCACGGCTGCCGGTCCGCGTGGCCTTGTCCCAGTTGAAGCCAGAGGCGTTGATATCGAGATCTAAGTTCACCACCCATCAATTACAATTCTTGCAATGCGTGAGGATGAAGTACTCACCTGTGGCAATGATGTACCATTCGGATCGAGCAGCATTGGTCGTCAGGAACACGTCGCGGACCGCCTTCGTGCCGACTGTTGAAGTGAGGACGGGCTGTCCCTTGTTCAAGAACTTGAAGCTCGAAGCGCTGTTCCCGTTTGACAGGTGAAATTGAACCTTGGGGTTGGCATCACTGAACGTCGAAATAAGGTAGCCAACATAGTTGGTGACCTGACGGGGAACAGGGTTCGCAGCCACGAAGGCGGCCGAGGCCACAGCGGTGAGGATTGAGAGAACGCGCATTTTGAACCGAATCAGCCTGGTGGATCCACGGATTCCACTTCGTCACAGATTAAAAGAGTCATGTTCAATTTGTTGGATATTATCGACATTATATACACACGGTCGTGGTGATGTAGTCTCGCAGTCACGCAGAGCTCCGTGGGCTTGGCAATATTGGCATTGGCCTTGAGCCGAGTCAGTTTCACTGCACCAAATCACTCAGGTCAGCCGGCGTGAAGCTTCATATACGGAATGCATTTCTATGGCGCGGCTAGACTTCTAGTTCACTGTCGGGGTAGCGTCCTGCCGAGCTCTCTCGCGATGCGGGGATGGGCGACTCCACAAACGGCGTAATCGACTCCGTCAACTGGACTAGCGTATGGGGAAGATGCACTCTTCCGGTAGTTTACCCCATGGCACACCATGTCATGTGGGGTTTGGCATCTGGAGAAATCGCTCAACTTGTTTCCTTGATTGTGATACTTGGGCAGAAGGTTGCACTCAAGGAAGAAACCCGCCATCACATGCCGTGCCCGCGCAATCATGGTTTAAGCGCCAATGACCTCCAACGAACATCACGTAATTCTGCTCTTCTTTCTACCTCATGGCGAGGTAGCATCCGCCTACTGTTATTTGACGACTCGGTCCAGCCCACCCAATCACACCCACAATAGCGAAGCACCTGGTACCTGGGTCAGTTACTAGTTCGCACTCTACGATTGTTGGCATTTGACGTTGAGAATGGAATTTGATTCTTGACAGGTGCGGGAGTTCCGCGTACCTGCAGCAGTATCCGTTATCAGCATCAGATAGCGTCCATCGCTCAATTGGTCTATCAATACACCTGTGAATTCTCTACATGTATCGAGGGTGGGCGGGGTTTTACTGTACTAAGACTCCTGATCTACTTTCTAATCGAAGTTCAGTGGAAAAGTGCGCGAAACAAGACACGGCCCTGAGAAAAGGAGAGCCCAAAAAGGGAAACCAGAAGAGACGAAAAGCTTCATGCAGATAAATAACCTGAAGAGCATCATCTAACACTCAAGCGAGTCCAGATCGAGTTCCTCCTTCCGTCGCCTGATGAGAAACTTGGTGGCTGGATCGGGAATGATTGACATGCCGAAGGTAGTGGCCTTTGGCTGGAAGCCGTCGGGAAGCTTCCAGTCGTACTTGAGCAGGATGTGGCACAAGGCGATCTTGATCTCGTTGGCGGCAAAGAAGCGACCAGGACAGGCGTGAATTCCATGCCCGAATCCAAGATGTCTTGAACTTGTGCTCACGAGATGCGCCGTCTTGCTGTCTTCGTCCCTTTCACCCTCCGCCGCCTCTCGCAGCCTCAAGAACCGATAGCCATCGAACTTGTCGGCATCCTTCCAATACTCGGAATTCCACATGTGAGTCCCTTCTCCAAGGACCCTCTGGCCCTTCTTGATCACGAAGCCGTCCGAAAGCTCGACATCAGCAAGTGCTTGTCGACTCCACAGTCCTTGATGAAAATCTATTAGCAACTTTCGTTCAAAGACAGTTCCATGTTCACTCGGAGACCTACCCAGTAGCGCCGGCTTCATACGTTGAGACTCCTTGATGACACTGTCCATCAACTTCAGGTTGTACAACGCCGTCTTCTTCAATCCTTGAGATCCCAAGACAGTGATGACCTCTTCTCGGAGGGGGGCCAATATTTCGGGATTCATGGCAATATCAATCATCGTTTGTTGAAGAAGATCAGAGGTCGTGTGGATTGCAACAACGGTTAGTGTGAGCTTAGATTTAGGGTTAGTCGTCTGCTAGTCTGATATTCTTCTTTAAGCTGAGAAGCTTACCTGGTGCCTAGCATGCTCATTGGATGGACCGTACTCTGTTTCCCACCACTCGACCAGATCATCGAATGGGCTCGGCTGTCCTTTGGCCAGAGCAGCAGCTTTGATGGCGTTTCGCTTCTTGATATGGGGCTCGAGGGCATTATTGGCCTTGTCTAGCTGCTGCCGAAGATCCTGGCAAACAGGCATGGCCCAGTGAACGATGGGCCTGAGGAGTCGGGGCCAAGCTCTGACTTCATCGGTAGCTTTGAAGGCAGTGATGGTGTAGTCACCGGATGCTTTTGTCCATTCCTCGTTTCTACAGAGCTCCTCGCCCATGAAGATCCTCGTAGACATCTGGGACACAACACGAACAAGTTCTTCCTTGGGGCTCATAACGTGCCATTCTGACAAGGTTAGCTGGATTCTGCCACAGCATTGGAGGACGCTCGTACCAGGGGAGTCTGTCAACACTGCCCGCATCGCAAACGTTGCTTCTTGAGAAATTGGGGCCGTGAGCTTGGCTGTAAACAGCGACAACTTTAGTTAGTCTTGCAAAATTGTGATTTGTCGAGTCTTATCACTCACTTAGAGCCTTGGTCAAATACTTCGTGACAATTTTGGCCAACTTATCATCCAGAGAGAAAGCGTCGAAGCCGGGGATGTACCCATGGGTATCCTGTGAGTCCATGTGAGCTATCAAAGACGGGCATCGTTGAGAAGACATGATGATATACATCACTTGCCGGGACAAGAAACGACAGTCGCGCGTCGCTTCGAAGCTCTTCGATGTGCTGAGGTGACAGTACGATAACCTCTCCCCAATCACAGTACGCCTTGTAGAGCTTGTTGCCGAAACGAGACCTTCCCTCGGCCAACAGTGCAGCACTCCGGGGGAAGAATTCGGAAACTCGACGTCTGTTGGTGAGTTCAAAAGCCTTCTTAGGGTTAAGCTCCGGGAGATTGCTCTTTTGGTCACCAAAGGCGCGCGCAAAAAACACCAACACGGCCAGAGTGAGAATATAGACGGCCGGCTGGTCAGCAAAGGGTATGTCAACCCTCAGCTCCTCCCACCACGTTGGCCGAGAATTCATGTTGGTAAACTTTTCGGGGTCGCAAGATGTCAGGCAAAGAGTTCAAATGCTGCGATACAGAGGAAATAGTCGTGATTTAAATCTGGCTGAGCTCTAAATCTCCTATTTTCAATGAAGTAAATGGGCGTTTTATCTATAATCTCTACAGTGATGCATTTGATACGCGTGTAAGTCGAGTCGTATTCTACGCCCTATGCAGCCGCCGTAAAGACCGGAGTCCGGCCGCCGAGCTCCCCCGAATGCGATACCGAAATAGGCATCTTCCCCGGCTACTTGCTACGCTCATACTCAGAAGCCCGTCCCCGCTGACAAAGCTTGCAGATCGTGAGCTTGCGTAAGTTCTGATTCAGCCAAAACCTCGATCGGCAGCCAACCGACATCTAGACCAAGGATTTGTCCGACAAGTGCGGAGCAACTGCCGGCACGGGTAGCTCCTTCGATAGACCGAAACGTGCATCACGGGCCGCTGGAAGGACTCCGGTGCATGGATCTGAGGGAGTAAGCCACCGGAGAAAACCCACCGCACGATGAAGCAGCGCTGCATAGTAGCCGAATTGGGGCAGTAAACGGCACAAACTAGTCATAAACTGCCAAATGCGCACAGTTTGATATGATAGAGTCAGGTCAAAGAACACCAGGCCGTCGTTCCAAGAGCATTTGGCACAAACGGGCATGTCGCATACAGGGTTTGGGGTTGTCCCGGCCTTTGCCATCAAGAGGCCTGAGAAGTTTAACTTTCAAATCTCCAATTTGCAAATCAAAACCCTCACAACACTTCTTCGACTTTGTCCCATAGCTCCAGAAACATGGTACAACAGGCAAGAAGATCTCGAATTTGGCCTCAGTCGCCGATGGATGATCGAGGCTAGAGATGAATGGCTCGAGTTCAACTTCCATCAATTCGAAAACGACGTCAACCTCTTTCCCAACTTCAGAATATCCATCGAAGACCCTGACCATGGTACAGTACCCATACACTTCGTTGCTCTCTTTTCAAAAAAGCATGATGCGATTCCGATTATCTTCATGCATGGCTGGCCAGGATCCTTCCTTGAATTTAGACCAATGCTGCGACTACTCACGCAAAGATTCACCCCCGAAACGCTTCCTTATCACATCATAGTGCCCTCGATACCAGGTTACGGACTTTCGTCAAGTGGCAACCTGGAAAACGAGCTCACTCTGAATCAAGCACCGCGACTGATGCACCAACTTATGATGGAGCTTGGTTTTGGTACTGGGTACGTCGCACAAGGAGGCGACGTTGGTAGCAATCTGGCTGGACAGATGTCTGCAAGATTCAAGGAATGCAAGGCGTATCACCGTAAGCAGACAGAACCAAGAAGTGCGGAGATGGGGCATGAACTAATGCACACATAGTCAACTTCTTAGGCCCCGAACCTGGGGACGATTTGTCGACTGCGCTGAGTCCAACCCCGGAGGAACAGGAGCAGATGGAACGAGGGAAGAGTTTTGCTTTCAGTGGTTCAGCATACGTTTTCGAGCACGGTTTCAGACCAGCTACCATAGGCCACTGCATTGCGTCGAGCCCAATTGCGTTGCTAGCTTGGTCAGTCATTTTTCATTTGGCTTTTTGCCCACCCACGTGAAGCACCCGCTGATTATTGCCATGAAGGATTGGCGAAAAATACGTCCACTGGACCGATCCCTTCCACCGACTAAGCATGCAAACCATTCTCGAGCTCACCACACTATACTGGTTGACGGAAACATTTCCACGGAGTCTCTATCCGTATCGTCACCTGGCTCCAGTGCTAGCATCCGGTGACTCGCTTTCAATCAGCAAGTCTACGATAAAGCCGTTCGGATATGCGGCATATCCCTTCGAGTGTGTTCTCATGCCAGAGACATGGGCACATCAGGCGTATCCCAATTTAATCCATTACAGTAGACATGACAAGGTAAGAGAGACATGACGTCACGCTAGTGTATGGGTCTAAATCTTGATTAGGGCGGGCACTTTGCAGCTCTAGAGCAGCCTGAGATTTTCCTTGATGATGTGCTCAGATTTGTGGAACTGGTAAGATCAAGGGGCATTTTCGTGTAAAAAGCCTCAGAAGCTTTGCCTGGAATACATAAAGTCTACTTACCTTAGCTAGAAATGCTATCTAGTATCTGTTCATGTTTAGTATGGTCGTGCCTGAGGTCCGAAGGAAGCAGCAGTCTTCAATTCTGCACAGGAACCTGTCTATTTCCTATCCCGCCTGCAATTTACAAGTGCTAAATACTATGGAGACAAAGAATAGAAGATGTTCAAAATTTTTGCGGTCACTAAACTCCCAACCTAATGAATTTTATGGCACTTGTCTGCTCTGCTTGTGTACAGTCATCCCCACAGACCAGGAGTCCCACAATTAAGTTGCAAAAGTTGCAAAAGCCATTATTTCGCCCTCTCACCGAGGCAGAGCAACCATCTATCTCGTTTTAGACCCTTAAGAGTGACAACGCGTCAATATCTCACCGCTTTTTGTAAATGTCTGTAAGATTTGTAAGAAGTGTTCGAAAATGGTCTGCGATCCTTGGCCACCCCCAATCGGCCCCAGACGAGCTCAATCCCACCGGCTGAGATCGGTGGTTCGGTCCGTGCCAAGTGCCGAATTATAAATCACAGGGTGTATATATGTATTGCCATCTTGTTCTGCTTCAATGATTCAATTTCATTTCAAAGCAGCATCAGAACTTCAGCGTCCGAGCCCTACACCGGATAACTAGACGACATCGCATCAGCCAGCCAACCGGAAACAATACCTACCAAAACTGCAACAATATGACAGACTCAAAGGTTTGGCTGATCACCGGGACAACCTCGGGCATGGGGGCTGCCATGATGGAGCAATTCGCCGCACGAGGCGACCGGGTGATAGCAACTGGGCGCAGCGCAACCGTCAGACTTGCAGATAAGAAGTCGAGCAACATTTTCCCTTTGGATCTGGATGCTACTGCCCCGCTAGCTGTTGTCAGAGAACAGATCGAAAAAGCCATCCAGGTCTTCGGTTACATCGACTTTGTTGTCAATAATGCCGGCATCTCAGTTCCTCAGACGATTGAAGAGGCAGAGTAAGTACCTATCTGAGCTTATTGTGACGGGAAGTTGATTCTGATAATCTACTCAGCGACGCCTTCACCCAAAAGATGCTTGATACCAATCTTATTGGTGCAATTAGGCTTGTGCAGGCCGTGCTTCCTCATTTCAGAGAGAGGAAGGCCGGTACGTTCGCCTTCATTGGCTCTGCAATGGGCTGTCAAACCTTCCCGTTCTTTACCCATTATGGTATCACCAAAGCTGGCCTCTCTAGTAAGTCATAGAGATTGTCCTTGATAAACGTACACGAGATCGCTAATTGTCGAAGTTTTTGCTGAGAATCTCCAAAGAGAAACCGCCCACCTGGGACTGCGGGCCGTTGTTTTCGAGCCTGGAGCCTTCGTGACCGGCATCGGGCAGACGAGAACCGCGGCTGATGAGGGTCTGGGAGGGGCACCTAGCATCTCCGACTACCAAGGCTTGTTTGGGGAGATAATGGGAAAGTTTTCCTCGCCGGAAATGGCGGAAAGTATTCCATCTACCGTTAAGAAGCTTCCTTCGGCTGTTTGGGATGTAGTCAAAAGCGAAGGTATGGCTTCGGGGAAGCCATTCCCTATTCGGGTACCCTTGGGCCTCGATGCGTTGGCCGTGATCAGACAGAAGTGCTACGAACAACTCAGGCTGTGCGATGAGTGGGAGAAGGTCGCCCTCAGCACGACAAAAGATGGTGCGGATACCACCCCGAACAAATATCTCCTGGAAAAGATGTCAATTATGAACTTGACCAAGTAAGCCACAAATGGGAGATTCGGAAAGAGCGACGGAATACCGAATGGCATCTCATCTTCTGTTAAGTAGTAACCGCCGGGGCATATGATAGTTGTTTTTGATTAACCAGTATCACGTGCGCTGGGAACTGCACTTTGCCTCAATGCCGGTGGGATGCGCCTCTTGGCTTCCGGACGTAAGGTATGCAAAAAGCTTCCAATACTTGCCCGCAGGACATCCGCATCAGCACAGAGCATCGATTGTCCAGCTGGAGCGACGTCTGCCTTGAAGAGTTTCGGAACACGTCGGAAAGGTTCCGAATGTTATCCTTACGGCTAGCTGGTTCTACATGTCCATCTTCACCTAGCAGTAGATCTGAGTAAATGACAGAGTCTATGCGTGAGGGTCCCGCAGCAGTGATCCTCAACTACAACCATCGGCGGGTAGTTATACCAGATTGGGAAGGTACATGCGCCCCGAGGACGCTACCCACCCATCACCCCTTTCTTGATAATCAATACCACAATAAACATATGGGTTGCAAACAAGCAGTCAAAATAGAGTTCAACTGACTGTTTTCGTCCAATATTTCTGGGTCCATAGAGAACCAGATCGTGGTTCACACCTATCACGGGCGACGTGCAGACTATGGCCTCGCCCCCCTAAAAGGCCCCGTTAGTCCTTTCGAACAACAGGTATATAATGAGCATCGATCCTCGCTTCAGCGTCATATCTGGAACTCAGACAACCATCTCATTCATCCGTTGTTCTTATCATCATGCATCTGCTGTTCACACTATCGGCGGCCCTTGCTGGCGCTGCCATGGCCCTCGATCCTATATGCGACAGCAAGTGCCAGGCCAGCTGCGACGCGGAATGCCAGACTGCCATCCAGACGACCTACGAAGCAGAAGCAGCACTTTGGGTCGGCGACATTGTCTCTGATCCCTTCTATTCGACACCTGCCAACGTCACGGGAGCCAAACCTGGAGATATTCTCCGCTGGGAGAACGTCCCTGCAGCTCAGCTGGCTTCCAATTGGACACTACCGGCTAGTCTGTCGCTCTCACGCGTTCTTTACATGACCGAGGATATCGATCGGAAGCCCATTCCGGCCTCGGCTTGGGTTCTCTTACCATTCACCAACCCGTTTGCCAACCCCCAGGGAACGCCGGAGGAGAACAAGCTGCGAACCATTGTCTGGACGCACGGAACAGCAGGCCGCAGTAGACTCTGCGCTCCCACTAACAACAAGGGCCTTTACTACGACTGGAAGGCTCCCTTCATTCTCGCTGAGTTGGGATATGCTGTTGTTGCTCCGGACTATGCGGGTCAGGGTTCAGACATCCCCCAAGGATTTATGTACGAGTCTGGATTCCTCCATGCTGCTGATGTCGCCTATGCTCTCATTGCTGCGAGGAAGGGCCTTGGAGATATTCTCAGCCAGAAGTGGATGGTTTACGGTCACAGTGAAGGCGGAATGACTGCCTGGCGAACCAATGAGCGTTTGGCCATGCCTGACCAAGAGGCCCTTTTGGCTGCCGGCGAGTTCGTCGGTTCCGTTGCGGCAGCCCCTGCCCTGCGTCCTCAGAAGCTGATCCCAGCAACGCTTGAACGAGCTCAGGGCCAAGCCGCTCGGGACCCCTTCTCCGTCTACTTCCTCCAGTCTCTCTCAAGGCTTTACCCAGACCAGATCAAGGTAGAGGACTATCTCGGCGAGATTCCTCTGCAAAGACTCGGAGCTCTGGACAAGTCATGCTTCCAGACAGGGTTTGCCATTGTCGGTGGCTTTACGCCTGATCAGCTTTACAAGAACACTAGTTGGCTTACGCATCCCGCAACAAACGACTGGGCCGTCCGATACAACGGTCAGGGACCCCATGCTATTGCGGCTCCCATGCTTGTTATCCAGGGCTCGACAGACACAATCACTTCGGCCAACCTGACATTGGACGACTTCAACCAGACATGCACCACCTTCCCTGAGAGTCCAGTACATGCTCGCGTGTATCCGGATATGGGACACGGTCAGGTTTTGGAGGCCGCCAGGGCTGATATCGCTGCTTGGATCGCCGCGAGATTTGAAGGAGTTCCCGTTGAGAAGACCTGCGTCCACGAAGACGTCAAGCCTTTCACCGATCGCTACGCTGTGGGTGATATTTTCTGGCACGGCACGGCTGTGCCCTTCTAAAGGCCAAGTATGCTTGGGAAAGCGATCCAGTTGATAGTCCACTTTCTGTTTACCATCGAATGCAGACGAGGACAAGTCTATCACTTCTATGTACATAGTTAACGTAAAAGCCTTCGTACATCTCATTTCATCGCCATACCGTGTCAGCTCCCAAGTCGCCCGAAGTTCAACTTCTTTTCTCCTCTCCTCTGTCGCCAGTAATTTGTTCCTTCTAATATCTCAGGGCATCCGCGGATGAGCCATGCCCATTTTCTGAAGAAGGCTTCATTTGCCTCCCATCCCCGAGGGTCCCAGGACTCGCCCCAGACTAAGAGACGAGGTCGCTCATCGCCATCATTAGACTTGTGGCCAACGCCAAAGACATCAGCACAGAACTCGTCCTCGTCGAAGAAGCCAAGATCTTCAGCCCGTATTGCACTTTCCCTTAGCGAGGGAATTGGGAACAAATCCAGGAACGGGTGGTGAGTTATTTGATACTGGGCTTCCGTGGGTCGAAGGAATGGAGGCCACAATGATGCTTGCCGAGGGCCGCAAGGAAGCTTGGGTCCCTCCAAGTTGAAGGGTGAAATGAAATGATCTTCGCAGAGAGATTGAGGGATGAATCCCAATACCCGGGCGTTTCTAGCCAAGGCATTCAGTAGGTTCAGGCCAACAAGAGCATAGAGCTGGGTTGGTTGCGGGGTTCCCAGCGAGTAGTTTGTCTGGGCACTTCTTGCGAGAATGATCATCTCGGCCCTCCTATTCGGACACGGAAGAAGCACATAGCCTCCATCTCCATCGAGTGAGCTTGAAGACTCACCCTCCCCTTCGCCACTTTCTAAGTTGTTACATAATTCTTTCAATTTTCTTCTTCCTATGCGCACAAGGAAAGTGTCAGCGACCAAAGTTGACGATCTACGTAGAGCCTTGGGATCACTAACGACGCGCCCTCTGGTTAAGGCGATTTTGTATCTTCCGCCTTTCTTTACTTGATGAGACCCCGGTCCAATCGTCTGCGGGATCCTTCATCTCCAGCTGATGGGGTATTAAGTCGAGCTCCAGCTTGGTAGGCGGATTTGCGCTACTCGATGCACTCAATTCTGTAGGATTCGACATTTCTTTAACCAGATCAACAATTGTGGAGTTGTGGAAGAAAAAGCGACCTCGTCCGCGTTGGGCTGGGCTTCTTTCGGTTTTAAAGGCCCTGAGTCGTGAGCCAAGGCTTGGCCGGACCACTCAGCGCCCCGAGATCGCACCAAGGAATTACAGATAGAGCAGAGTGGGTCGCCTGAAGCCTATTTACGAGGCACCTCAGGTACCGTACCGACCTCACCTGGGTACATGCATGATGTCAGTGAACCTGGAAGACACTGAAAGTAGTTTGCATGCAAACCCGCGCGAGAGCGGTTCTTGAATTTGGATCAAATGTTATTGCGAAATCTCACCAAAACTAGGTAGTTACCACCCGGATCCGCAACTCGTCTAGTCATAACTTCATTGTCGTATTTTCTCAAATCTCACGAGTTACTTCCATGCAGTGTTGTCATCGCCGAAAGAAAGATGGCGAGTAGAACTAGCATCCGTTGGCTCAATGTTGCGCTTCTGTGATGTAGATGTTCCAAAAAGCATCTCTGGGACCTAAGCAGATAGCTTGAAGGGACTAGACTCTTTTCAGAAATTCCAAAGACTATCATAAAACTCGGTTGCTTCCTCTTCCGTGCTGAAGTCGCCCACGATGCCACTTAGAAGGCTCCCATATGCATCAGGCATGTTTACATCCGCAATTTGAGACGCCCAATTTGCCATGTCTTCCACATTCGGGCCGTTGGAGGTCAACGAAGACGGCTGGAAATCTGGTTCGTCAACCTGATTCCGATCTACCACCATTGCCATGGTTCTAGCAGACAACGCTTCGAATAGGTTTCGGTATGGTGCCGCAGCCTCCCAGCGTTCCGCCATGATGGCCAAGAGCATTGTGCAAGTTGTGAACATGGTGCTAACGTTGTCGATTCTAATTGATCTTCGAACAGCTGGAGAGGTCCAAAGACAGTGCATGTAGGTCAACCCTGCCAAAAAGAGAAGGTGCACCGTCGACCATGTGTAATTGATCGGTTTGCCAATGTACAGGCGTTTGCAGCCTTGGCAGATACTTGCAGCAGCCTCAGCACACTCCAGGAAGACATCTTCTTCCCGATCCTTTTTATCAGTCAGCTGGCCGCGATGTAGAAAGAGAATAGTTTCGTAGTAGGTCAACTTGTAGTCTTCCATGTTGGAGAACACGGTAAGTGGAACAGCTGCTCGACGCGGCTCTGGAGGCGTACGTGCCATCCAATCATCGAGTTCTCTGCGAAACGTCTGCACTTGGGCTTGATGCTTCTCTTTATCCGAGCTGTCGATGGAGACATTGGAGTAGAAAACAGCATAGATGCTCGCCCAAATGCATCTGATGTCAAATTGGTGAAGCGCATGGGAGACGGTGGTTGGAGGACCCCTTGGTGATGTTCTTGGCGACCCTTGGATTTGTGTTTCGCTTATCGCAGAATCATCGATATCCAGAGGAAGCTGCCCAGTCAGTAAGAAAGTACACGTATGACATATATCTATGGGATCTCACCTCGGAATCCACCTCTTGGATCGGAAGAGTGAGAGGGAGGCCAAGATTTACGGAGGCAGCGCAGTCCATCTGATACGCGCACCAGAAGGCTCGCTTTCGCAACTCTAAACGCAGAAGGTTGGTCCGAAGATGAAACCTCTTGACGTTGCGATGATAGCCAAGTTCAATGCACTGGCGAAGAGCAAGTCCCGAAAGATTCCTGTTGAGAGGGTTTTAGTCATGACTTATGGTCGTGATCGGCCAGGGTTGTTGGTGAACTGACCACACTGACGGGCCAGTAGCAGACCTGATAGAGAATAGTGCACAGCATAGCAATGCCTGAATTGATTCAAGGGTTTTTTGTAAAAGTACACTTTCCAAGTGCAATAGCGCTGAGGCATAGAGTTGCTAAAACAGCATAATATTCAGATTTATGCGATGTTGGCGCATTTGAATCGGTGACTGACCTGTGAGAGCAATTTGGGATTCGACTTCAACAACGCGCCAATAGCATAAACCTGCCTAGTCTTAGTGATACAGCCTAAGCCTACGGGAAGAGGCCAATGCAATGATTTGGTCCCACATCACTCACCATGTTGACGAAAAACAGCTCGCTTGGAGTTGGAGACTTTGACTCTAGTCCCGCCGCATTTCTCTCCCACTGCCTAAACGTAGGTTCATGCAGGAATGGGTATTGCAAATGAACGTTATCAAAATAAGCATTGCTCAATAGCAGTCCCACTTCATACCGTGGTAACCGGCACGGTGATACTGATGAGTTCATCTCACCCGTATGTAAGTCGAAATCGTCATTAGGGTTGCCCTGTGCGACCTGACGTACGCAGGCATGGATTATCCGGGAAAACGAAAACATCGACGACGAGCCGAGGTATTGCGGTTCGGCACCGGAAGCATGTAGACTCAAGATGCCTGCCTTGGAAACAAGATCAGCAGCATCATCCTGGTCACCCCGATTACCGCTCGGAGTATCCGTAGACTGCTCAGAGATGGCAGATGAGGAAGGTAACCCAGACACAGAAGGCGATTGACCTTGCTGCTGCAGCATGCCTTCCAGAAGCTGAATGCGCTCCTCTAAAGTCTCAACGTAATTCCGTGGGAGGTGCCGCTTGGTGGAGGAATCTTCCACGAGACATGCTAGCGGCTGTTGAGCATTCGCATACACTAAAAATCGGCGGTCCAGGGGACTTGACTTACCAATGGCCAGACGACTGCAATTGGCGCAGGATGGGACTTGGTCATCGCACTAATGATCTGAGTCACTGGAAATCCAGATGAAAATGCTGATGCAGAGTAGCCCTGATTGAGTTTACCTTCAGTTTCCTTTCTTTACAGCCGATGCAAACTCCTTGGGCTCTGGTGCGTGTTCGACGCGGGGGACGCGCCGGGCGTCTTTGGCGATCGCTCATCTGGCGCAATGGTTAGCCTGAGGGGTCAGTAAAAAAGCTGCGCAAGCTGAGTACGCAATAGTCAGAGTCATTTAGCCATTAACTGGCCTAGACTTGCTTTTTTAGTTTGGGTTCAACCTTTTCCAAGCTGGATCCTGGCTGAAGGACTGTTGGTCGCTGAGATTTTGGAGGAGGAAGATATTTCGCAGCAATGGGAGACTCAATGCGCTGTCATACACAATGCATTGATAAGAGATTTGGAGCCATGATTAGTCCTATCTTCCTTATCTCACCGCAATGTCAGGGATTATTAACTTGGCACAGGTCGTTGAATTGGCGCCTTACAGCGTTCAGACTACACTAAATCTAGCACGAGCTCGTGGTAATGTCCTTGACTCAGCATGACACTAAGTACAACTACCCCCAAATGAAAGCCATCGAACTTCCGACCACATGTTTCCCGTCAGACCAGACAAGCCTTCCTTGAGACTTAGCATCGGCACCGGGTGATGAACCCAAGGTGGCGGAGACGACGAAGCTCTGTTTCTCGCCCGCCTCGCTGAAAGTGAGAGTCTCAGGGGTGACAGCAACCTTGACCAGTGCGGGGTCAGTGAGAGAGACGTCAACCTTGTAAGTACCAGCACCTCCGACGTTGGTAACGGTGCGTTTGAACGTGGCAGTGTAGGACCCGTTTGTAGAACTATCATAGAGGGCAGAGAAAGAAGGATAATTAAGGTCATAGACGCTATATGTTTGGTTGGAGGCGCAGGTAAAGTTGCTTCTTGTGATGCCGTTGGTAAAGGCAGATGTGCTGTTGACCGCGCAGAGAAAGTCAAGGTAGTCATCCGGAGAAATGTCGTATATGAGGCCAGGGCTCAGAGCTGCGACGGGGTCAACGTGGCCGTTTCCGTAATCGAATACAGAGGCCGCCTTATCGTTGGCAGAGTCTAAAAGAGGAGACTGGGTGCCCTTCGTCGTGGTGTATGCAGTAGTCATGATGGCCGACCGGATGGCTGCAGGGCTCCATTCAGGGCGCCGGGCAAGAATGAAAGTAGCAATCCCAGACAAATGCGGGCAACTCATGCTTGTACCGGAAATCACGTTCCAGTCAATCTTTCTTGTGTCAATGTCAAGTCCGGTCGGACCCGTGCCAGACCACCCAGCCAGGATAGAGACGCCTGGGCCAGTGATATCCGGCTTGAGAAGTCCGGGAACCACAACGTTAGGGCCTCTAGAGCTGAAAGATGCCATGAGAGGAGCCGAAACACCCAATCTGGTACCTTCAAAGTCGATCACTGCTGTCCCATTGCCCATCTTTGCGTAGGCTTCAACTTCAGATCCGTCTGAGTAGCCAAGGTGCAGAGCAGGAAGAATATGGGCATCAGCAATGGTACCATCGCCATCGGTTTCGGAGTTGACAAGTACCATCGCACGACCTCCAGCAGACTTGACGACGCCACCCTTCTCTGTCCTTCCGTTCTGGCCCCTGACGCAGACAACTGCCTTGCCGGCCACCTTGGCAGGATCAAGACTGCCCGCCAGGCAGAGTGACGCTGTTGTGGCATTTCCTTTGCCCGCTTGACTGCCGTGAATCAGAGGAAGCACCTCTCCGTCGGCTAACGGCTTGATGTCTGTCACTGATCCATTGCTGTAAAGAGAAAAGCCGGTGTAGTTCTTGCCGTTGCCAAGTGTGATGTGGGCAGGGAAATCACGGTCCAGCGTGCTGGCGGCGACGTTCAAAACCCATGGGGCAAGGTTCGTGACGGTCCCGGGTCCTGGGCCGCTGTTTCCAGCCGACACGACAACAAAGATGCCCTTCTTCATGGCTGCGTAGCTGCCAACCACGATACCCTCCTCCTCGTTGAAGCTTGGCTGATCGGGGCCCAGCGACAAAGACATGACGTTCACTCCATCCGCGATCGCTTGGTCGAAGGCTGAGAGAATATCGGAATCGAAACAGCCCTCCTTCCAGCAAACCTTATACATGGCGATGCGTGCATCTTTGGCCATGCCACGAGCTGTACCGGAGGCTTGTCCAAATAAGCTGGCGTTAGGGACTTCATTGCCGGCAGAGGTAGTCGAAGTGTGGGTTCCGTGACCGTCGTCATCCCTGGGAGACTGAGATTCTCCAGTCCAGTTGAAAGCTCCAGTTCCGTTAGTGACAGCGGCAACGTATCCCTTGTAGAAGGCCCTGGCGCCCACAAGCTTCTTGTTGCAGCTCGTGGCCGGGAAGTCTGGGCCAGTCTCGCATTCGCCCTTCCAATGGGAAGGAACGGGAGGCATGCCATCGTCCTTGTAGCTTGGGTTTTCAGGCCAGACTCCAGTGTCAAAGATGCCGACGACCAAGTTTGACTCGGCGCTTGTACCGTTCACGTCGTCACGCGCGTCGAGGTATATGCCCGTGTCGACGCCGGGGCTGCGACCAAGCAAAGCTCCAGAGTCAAGCAGTCCTAGAAACGCAGGAGTACGACTAGTGTGGAGGTGGTAGACCTTGTCCGGTCTCACGGAGAGAACATCTGGCTGTGCCCTCAATGCATTGGCTTGATCATCGGTGATTTTGGCTGCATACCCATTGATGGTGTGTTCATAGGTGTAAATGACCGAAGCAGTGTCGGCAGAGACAGATTGTAAAGAAGTGTCAATGAAAGACCTGCGGAGGAGGCCGCTTGCCTGTGTGTCGCGCATCGTGACGATATACGTTTTCTTCAGTTCAGCCCCTGAAGCAATCCCTGTGAGGAAGGAGCTTAGGAGCAGCAGCCAAGAAGCTCTCGCCATGGTGTTTGTGCGCGACAATCTGATGTTGTTTGGACCCGAGAGTCTGGTCAGAAGATGCAACTGTTACATGCAGCTCGGAAGGACCTTCAATACATATAGTTCACTCCTATTGACCACCATTTCGGGACCAGATGCCCCGTCAAGAAGATAGTGAGCGCATTTCCAATGCACAAGCCCCTATTACTAGCAGTAGAGTTCTCGTATCTGAAGATCCCGACTGAGCCGAGATGGACTGAAAGTCCGCAGGTCAGGATTAGTGCATATTCAGTTGCATTCGACCTCCCTCTTTTGATTCTGAAGTTGACGGGCCAAAGCTTATCAGAATAGTTCCAGGGGTTCGTCCTGCTGCTATTGGCCGGACGTCACGCCAACGCTGGTTATGGCAGTCGGCAAAGACTCAATTAAAGTGTCAGATAACCTTAATTTCGAGAACTAATGTTCATCCGACAGCGCCGCGCCTTAGCTGTGATCACGTATAGGCGGCTAGCTTATCCGGCTCTTAGCTGAGTTCATGCATTTATTAAGCACTGGCCACCGCGGTACTTTGACTTCGCCAGGCGGGCAAATAAGGAATTGAAACCACGTGGAATCTCTCCGCTTTGTAGCAATTAGTAGGCGAAAGTTGAAGCTCAATCGTGTCCGTGGATCTCATTTATTTGTGTTCATATCTCCTCAAAGGAACCTGTCTCCATCGCATTGAGTTTGCCGACACGTCTCGGTATGATGCCAAACAGATTCATGGATATCACAGCGCTCGAGGCTCAAACTGTCTCCGGGCGAAGTGACGGTACATCAAGCGAAAGCGAAATCTCCACTTCTTCCCAAAGGCGATAAATAGCCCACCTCCGAACAGAATTGCAGTGATTAAGACGCCAATTGTGATGTACACAGTCTGAACTCCTGAAGAAGCGATCCACTGAGGAAGAGCGAAGATGATGATGAAGGAGCATGTGTTCCGAACGAAGGTAACTCCGACCATAGCATCGCCAACAATCTAGCAAGTAGGGTGTGTCAGAAGTTGTTTTCACCCATCGTGTAGGAAAGAAATGTGCTTACTTCTGTGTAGGCATCTGTTATGTACGTCAAGGATATGGTCCCTGCTGGAGCTGTTCCGAAACTGCACATGGCATAGCTCACAGCGAGGGCGGGCCAAGACCAGCCGTTGCTGAGCCCGATACCAAACACTATAATGCCAATTGGCGCGAATGGTGCAAATGCTGCCATCACCCAAAGTCGCATTTCTGGCTCATAGATTCCCTTATTGCGTTTGGACGCGAACAAAATCCACCAATCGCTGAGCGGACCACAAAGTAAGGTTCCCAGGGTCGACCCTGTGAAGGGAGCCAAACTCATCAAACCTATTTGGTCAGGGTCGAAGTTATATGGTGCCCGCGTCATCCAATTCGACATTGTTGTGAATAGAATGTTGGATGAGATCATCATTGCACCATAAACGAGAGACATGTATAAAACGCCCGGTACCGAGAATAAAATTTGAAATGGTCGATAGCAATGACGGTAAAAGGTGCGGAATGAGCCGGGTGATGACGTCGTGAGTGACAGGCGCTGCCTGTAGCTCTTACGTTGCATCTCTTGTTCAATAGATGGACCGTTCAGCTTGAGGCTGGTCCCCCTGTTTGATGGAGCATCTCTGTCTAATTCAGGACTTTTGGAGTTCTCGTCGACTTTCCCTGTACCCTCATCAGACTGGCCGATGCCACTAATCGGAGGCAAGATGAACTTCGTCTCCTCATAGCCAAATACCATGGCCAGCAGGAGCAAACCAAAGAAGATGGCAATCCACCACCATACCCAGCGCCAACCTTGAGACGTTGTCACATAGCCAGCCGCCAAGGGCGTGAGTGATGCCCCTATTCGAGTTGACCAAAAGAACAAAGCGTTCATGGTGCCTCGCTGGTTGACGAAGAATACGTCGGCCACAGTCATTTGCACAACCACTTCAGCGAGTGTACCCACGAAACAGCTTATTATGTTGACCATCATCAAATCTGCCACCGTTTGCTGGTGTGCAGACCAGATCGTTACACCGAACTGAATGGCTGTGCTGAGGATGTAGACTGGTCGTCGGCCATACTTCAATGCGAACGGATTCAAGATGACAGCTCCAATGGCAAGAGCACCACAACCTACAGCATAACTGGTGTTGAGAATGTCGTAGCTGAAGCCCAATTGCTCATGCATAGGAGCCCAAGTCGGAGTGGCCGCATCGATACTGAGGTCTTGTTAGTGGCGGGCCGGCAGTGTGTCAAAGCCGGGAATGTCAAGCATACAGTGCAAACACCATCAAGGTGTAGAAGGCGGCCAGGCCAAAATTCCAAAATTTCAAGGGTCTGGGCCAATTCTGATATTTTGGTAAGTCATACCGGAGTCAAAAGGGATTGAACTAATGTAAGGTGGAACTCAGCTGCGGCAACTTACCAGAGGGTCGTTAGGGTCTCGTGATGGTAGCGGTTGTAGGATGATCTCCATAGAGCCACTTTCTTCTAGGGGAAAAGCTTTAGTCTGTTGTCCGGACGTCTAGAACCGAAGCTAAAGATGATGATTTACCTTCCAGTCGTACGGTACCGGGCGGCCACGCGGGGTCATCATGTTCCTCAGTAGAAGCCATTTGGCTGTAACACAGTTGCTCAATAATGCCCTATTGTGATTGCTGAATATCGAGAGGTCTGATACTTCGTTGTTTCTAGATGTGGTGTGGCGAGGTCAACTCCAAGAAGCGAAGGAGATGAATCTTTTGTACAGGTATTTCCTGGGCTTTAAACACACATCCTGATGCATGGTATGATTAGCAGCCTGACAATTGTAGAATTATGCATCATGATATCTCGCCAAGAAACCTGTGTCAGAGAAGATGGCATCCCCGTCAATATTGAGATAAGACGGACGCTATCGCAACGATTGTGATGAATGTGAGCCCCGCAGAACAGCGCGGGGTGACGCTGATCCTCGCTCTCTTAAGGTAGAAGGTTTGCTGCATCTCGTTACATGTTTCCGACGGGCCGGTGGCACTTGGAGGAGAGTCGAAGTAGCTATCGGGTGTACCCGAGCTCGGCTTCCGATTCGTTGCAATGTGACGCTTGGATTGGAGATACTGCATCATGATGGAGCACTCGGACGACAATTTGGTTTTCATCGACCAATAGAATTCAGCGATCTTAGTCTTGTGCATCGGTTCTTCCCGGCGCAATTTCCGATGCGTGAACGTTGCGCGGCAGTCCTGACCCCCGACCGGTCACGACCAGTGTGCCCACTACAAGAGCGGTAGTCGGGTCAAGTACTGTAAGAAGAGTCACTTGTGGCAGGTTCAGTAGGGGAAGCATCGGCAAAAACACCACATATTGCCGCTTCTCTTCGAAGCTGCGGGTACCGGACTAAGTTCAATTAATCAAATGATATTGTCATAGGTATGATCCCCTCGGATATCAAGACTGATGGTCGAGTTCATAACAAACGCTCATGTCCTGCAAAGATTTTCATGAACGCTTCCATGTTGTGATTTTCGTTCTGATCTACACGAACACTATGTCTGTTGAAACCGCCCCTTTGGCCAAAGACGACCATGTTGTCGTGGTCGGTGCTGGCATCTTCGGGCTCAGTATCTCTATCCACCTAGCGGAGCGCGGACACACCAACATCACTCTTTTGGATAAACAGCCGTATGAAAAAACTCATTATTCCTATTTCGAAGGCTGCGATGCTGCATCTGCAGGTGAGATATGCGAGGATACGTTTGATCGTTCTTCTTGGTTAACCTGTACTCTAGATATCAACAAGATCATTCGTTCCGCGTATGGCTCTCAGACTATCTACCAAAACCTGAGTTTTGAGGCAATTCAATGTTGGAACTCATGGACTGAAGAGCTTCGACAAGGAGGAGAAGCTGTGCCTCCGGGAATGAGCGCTACGGACGACCTCTGGATCAACAATGGCGATCTCTCGTGTACCGACGGCGACGGTTTGCCGGACTCCGACAAAGCGACAATTGATAGCATGGAGAGAGCCGGTCATGGAGATACTCAACTCGTCAACAACAGCCCACAGGACTTGGAAGCTGCAACGAGAAGGGGCTTTCTTCCAATGATGCACCCATTCTCCAAGAACCTTCTGGGAGTGCTGGACACCACTGGCGGTATTGCTTTGGCCGATAAAGCCTGTCGTTTTGCTTTGCATAAGGCAAAACGTCTTGGTGTTCGACTTGTTCTCGATCCAACGGCTGGAAAGGTGGATTCCTTGATGGAAGGTCAGGGGTCCGATATCATCGGTGTGCGCACCACGGATGGAAAGTCACACAAAGCTGCCCTAACGATCATTGCGAGTGGCGGATGGACTCCAACCTTGGTTCCTTCTCTAGATGGGCTTGCGGAGACAACTGCAGGGTCTGTCGTCATGTTGAGCGTCCCAGAACATCTTCGTGGACGTTTTGCCCCTACACGCTTCCCAGCTTGGTCATACAAGATCGCTGACGGTGCAGAAGGCGGACTGTACGGCTTCCCCGTGGATGAGAATGGTGTAATGAAAATTGGGTATCGCGGCACGAAGTACACCAACCCGAGAATACAACCAGATGGCCTAGAGCGCAGCGTGCCAGTCACTCGGTGGACCGAAGATGACTCATTTGATAACCATTTCATTATCGACCGAGTGCCCCAAAAGAAGGCTCTCATGGTTGCCACAGCTGGAAGCGGCCATGCATTCAAATATCTGCCCACAATTGGCAACTGGGTGGTGGACGTTATTGAAGGAGTGGGTTTGGGCAGACCGGCGGTGAAGGCGTGGAAATGGAGGTTTCTGGAAGATGACAGCACGCCTGTCAACCAGCTCGTGGAAGGTTCTCGTGGTAGTCGTGCTCTTAAAAACATAGAGCTGGCGCCAGGTGTTGCTCCTCCTGGGCCAAGGCTATGAGCACTTGATGGACCCAATTCCAGAATTCTGTTTTCTTCAATGTCTGGCCGACATATCATTGAATCATCCAGACGAGATAAAGCAAGATAAAATAACACAAATAATGGATAGATAAAGCACATGTAACAGCAGGCGCAACGAGGACAATCAGTAGTGATACTCGTTCACGTCCAAGATGCAGGGTCCGACATGACGAGAAGTGCGAGTTGCCGGAAGTTTCAACTCAGCTGGCCCCCGTGGACCTCTCTGTTGGCTGCAATGTTTCTGATTGACTACAGTGAAGCGTGGATCCCAAGATTGATGTGCTGGATTGAGTCGGCACCCGCTCACGAATGACCACAAGGACACGAAGCCAAGAGCCCGCCCTTCAGATGTGGCTTGGTATAGCAGACTGTGTGTTCAAATGTGATCGCCACATGAACACAATCGACAGTCTGTTGCGTATTTCACGTGCATTCTTCCGAGCAACGGACGTTTCTGTAATGTAATGTGGGTACTATCGGCTTCTATGTGATGACGGTAAGGGGGATGTGGGTTATTTAGAGATTCATTTAGCGGAAAGAATAGGTTCGAGAAAGTGGTTGCGAAATGGCGCTGTTTGGAAGGGATTTCAACCAAACCCCAACTTGTGGTGTGGCATCAGAAAGCTGAATCGTAATCCTGGCCATAACGCATCCCTGAACACTGAGCCACCAAACATAAAACCAGCTCGATGGAGAGGCAAATCCTCACCGAATCCTCATCCATCAAGCCTCACGGTCAGAAAGCCGTGCATTCCGTCCAAAAATGGCTCAGACAACACACGGAGCACATAAGCGGCTCATCAGTTGCTGCGATGGAACATGGATGGACTCACTGGGAAAGCAAGGGTAAGCCAGAAGAGCCGTTCAATCCGTTAGGTTTGATAGTCTCATACCCCAAACATAAGGCTGAGCCTCAACCCAACGTCACGCGAATCCCACGAGTGCCCCTCAGAACCTGCCATGACGGCACCCACCAGATCATCATGTATGATCCAGGCGTCGGGAGTTCGGATAGTTATGTGGAAAAGTTCACCGGTGGCCTTCTGGGGACTTGACTTGCTCAGATACGCCCTTTCCATTATTAATTGAAAGTTTCCACGTCTGATTAGCATCCAGAATATCAGAGAAGTATCCAACTTCATCTGCGCCAACTGTATTGACGGAGACGATATAATTCTTATCGGCTTCTCTCGGGGTGCATTCACCGCGCGCTCTGTTGCCGACATGATTGCAACAGTCGGCTTACTGACGCCATTGGGGCTGGGTCACTTCTACGCGGTGTTCGAAGATTTCGAGAGCGTGACTGACGTAAATCGCGATCAAACTCTCTTTCTGGATCCCCAGGTTCTGCCATATGACAGCGAGAAAGGAAAAGCCAAGCGCGAGTCGGAAAAGGAGCGAAAGCTGCAGTATGAAGAGTGGCTTACAAAGGTAGGTGTGCTCCAAAGTAGTGCAATCGAGATGGTGGCTTACACCAACAGAATGGCTACACTAGACACAAATACCAAGATGGTACAACGGAGATCAAAATCGAGGCGATCGGCGTGTGGGATACTGTTGGAACTCTGGGCATTCTCCCAGCGCCAGTCATCGGTTTACGCGGATCCTCCAACCAGCAAATTACCCATCTACTAAGCGTGAGACTTCTGCTGACTTCATGTACATGGGAATTCCCAAGCACTCAGATTTCAGATCACGTAGAGGATGCATTCCATGCCCTTGCTCTTGATGAGCCCAGATATGCATTCAGGCCAGCTCTTTGGGAAAGGCTTGACAACACCAAGACAAATCTCGAACAGGTGTGGCTTCCCGGAAGTCATAGCACTGTGGGAGGCGGATGACACGAGCAGCAAATCTCCAACATATCTCTCGCCTGTACCTGCGTTTTTATGTGATTGGGAAATGAGTGAAGCATACATTCAGCTGACATACGCAGGGATGTGTGACCAGTTATCGAGTGTCGGAGTTGAGTTTGACCCACGCCCATGGAGGCCATCTTCAATCAAGGTCTGCGGTACTCTGCAGGTCATCCGTTCCCTTACGTACTCCAAGGCTCACGGATCATGGCTGTCAGCGAAGAAGTCCTTCCCATGGGCTAAGCCCGAGATCTGTGCGGCGAAGATCTCCAGTGTGAAGCGCAGTGTGAAGCGCGATGCGGCTGAATGTAATGGCAAGAATTATCATCCGGCAGGCAGCGATGAAGATCTCTGGAAGCTTGCCCGACCTTGGGGGCTAGGCCTAATGCGAGACCCTGGCGGCCGCCTCCAGACCATTGGCGGGACCACAGTCCGACATCCTGGAATTTTCAAGCGTACTGACCCAGATACGAACCAAGACAGCGACGAGGCTCTGCTGGACACCAACGAAAGAATCTACAACAGCGTTCGCGTCAGGTTAGCCTGCCAAGGGCTTGCTCTTGACGATGTAGAGATCTGGGACTGCAAGCCCCTTACCCGGGCGGCGGACGGCAGTGCGCTCTGGAAGCTAGAGCGCGGGTCTGGCTTGACCGCCTCCGAACTAAGTCAGACCAAAAGCTTCCGACCCAGGGAGTTGGATCTTGGTACGGGCAATTCGAAGGAAAACTTTATCCGGTTGGGGACAGGGACGGGCAATGGCGGTGCGTACTTGTTGATAAGCGCCGTGGGGCTGTGTCTCTGGAGGAGGTCTTACCTGAGGAGCCTGTGACGGGATACTGGGAACGGTATTTCCTTGCTTTGACGGCGGGAAATCCCGGTGTGTGGAGATGGGCGGAAGAAAACCCTCCCTTGGACGCCGCGGGATCTAAGGCTTGATCTAGGTCATCTTGTCTCAGTCAGTGGCGCTCCGGAGGCGATGCCAAGTAAGGAACAAGGGTCTAAACTTACGCATACGGTTGAACGTCCTGATGATCACTGCTTTTTCAGAATGACGGCAAATCAAAAAGTTTTCTCCTGAGTGATCGGCAGTCCTAATGCTTACTCCCACGTTTGACCTCACGTTCCACGACAACGTGCAGCAACATGCAGGCCACACTCACACCACGAGATGGCCACGAGAGAAGACCTTTCTGCCAGGAGTTCAAAGGAAATCACCGAAATTGCACAGGGACTCCATCTTAGACATTATTGCGATACTTCATTAAACAGTTGGAAACCGACTTGCGCCATATGATGAAATTTAAGGTATGGCTGCATGCGACCATTTGACTACACTTTCGTCATAAGCAAGCCACGGCTATGGGCCTCGTCCACTACTAACGGGATCTACCGATCATTGCTAGAAAGAATTCTAGAGCCATGTCTCGGAAACGGACTCCAGATTGGTGGGCTAGCCAGCATCAACGGCCATGTGCGATCTTGGTGTGCTCCTCCCGTCTCGGCCGTGAGCCATCTCCGGGACCAGACCCAGCCATCCGGGAGGAGCTGTTTTAGAGCTCAAAGGTTGTTGAGCTTTCAGCTTCAGCCAAGTTGGTGATAGAACAAACGCCTGGGCTTGAAGTTGGTGATCACGTCAAGCTCACCTCTAAACATTGACTGTTTTCGGCCATTGAAGCTGCCTGCAACGGGAATATCTTGAGCTTCATCGTGAGAATCGCGACGAGGAACAATTATAAAATTGGACGAGAATTCCCTACTCAAGGCCTCTTCTTTTTTCACCAGCAACAAATCAGCTCAGGTCTTCACTACTACTACTACTACTACCTCTGCTCTCTTAATTAATACTTAATACTCCTAATACCTCCTCTTACCCCTAATTTTAATCAATACCTTCGTCACTCTTCAAAATGTCTACCATTCGCAACTTCACCACTCTTGCTCTGGCCCTTGGCGCCGCAGCAGCCCCTCAGCTTGTTCAATTCACTCCGGTTCAGCCTCCCCAACCCGACGTCCCGGAGGTCCACGCTCCCACTGTCACCCCTCCTGCATTCCCCACGGTTGAACCCACGGCCCCGACTGTCCCGCCGATCAACATCAACAAGGACCTTATCGTCGAGCCGGCTTTACCGAATGTGGAGTTGAAGGGTCCGAAGGTAGCGCGAGACCTTCCGGTCAAGCTCACTCCGCAAGGCCTGGAGATCTCGGTCAGCGTCCCCATCGTCGTGCCCACTGCCGGCGCGGGTCTTCCGGCGTTGGCTCCCCGCGAGGATGACTTCCCAGTCGACTTCAACGCAATCCAGCCACCTAAGACTGTGCTCCCCAACGTTTCCACTCCGACCCTGTCTGTCAAGCTCCCTGACGTCGCCATTCCCTACCCAAAGGTTCCTAATACTCCCAAACTGCCTCGCCGCAACATTAAGATCCCCAAGGCCGTCATCCCCACCCAGTCCGTGGATCTCCAAGCGATTAGCAGCATCATCTCAGCCCTGGGCGGCCTCGTCACTGCCCGCAACGCTGAGCCTCAGCCTGCGAATGTGGTGCTCGATCTTCCCGCAGCCACCAGCGTTCTCTCTGTTCTTGGTGACATCAAGGCCTCCGTTGCAGGTCGCGAGGTCCCGACGCCTCTTCCTGTCGTCAGCTCGGTTCTCTCTGTCTTGGGCGACATCAAGGCCGCGATCATTCCTCGCCAAACACCCGATGTGCTTCCTATTGTCAGCTCTATTGCATCAGTCGCTGGCGGTGTCAAGGCCGGCATCATTGCCCGCGAGACTCCCGAGGTGCTCCCCATTGTGAGCTCGGTTCTGAGCGGTGTCAAGGCTCCTGTTTTTGCCCGCGAGACTCCCGAGATCCTTCCAATCATTAGCTCGGCTGTCAGCGGCATCAAGGCTGCGGTTGTTCCTCGTGAGACTCCCGAGGTCCTTCCCATCGTCAGCTCGGTTCTCAGCAGTGTCAAGGCCGGAGTCTTTCCCCGCCAGACTCCTGAGGTGCTCTCCATCGTCAGCTCGGTTGTTGGCGGCATCAAGGGTCCCGTTGTTGCCCGCGAGACTCCTGCCGTACTCCCCATTGTCAGCTCTGTTGCCTCTGTCGTCGGCGACATCAAGGCCTCGCTTCTTCCTCGTGCGCTGCCAGTTGAGGTTCGCAGCACCACCGTCGACATCGCCGCTGTCAAGACTGCCATGGCCGTCTTGAAGAGCATCATCGACTCTCGCGATCTCGCGGCCGTTGGCGTCACCATTCCCAGCGTCACCGTCGAGGTTCCTATTGTCAGCTCTGTCCTCTCTGTCTTGAACAACGCCGCAGGCACTGGGCTGTCCATCAAGGCTGCTCGCGGCACCCTCCCCGAGGTTCCCGCCGCTGTTGTCGCTGTCGGTGTTGACGTTCCCGCCTTCACCGCGACCGTTCCCGTGCTGGTGCCCGTTGCTGCCCGCACCGCGATCGACCTGCCGCTTAGCACTCTCATACAAGTACCTTCCATCAGCAAGACCATCGAGCTGCCCGCTGTCCAAACCCCTGAGTTGAAGGGCAAGTTCACCGCAGGCAAGCGCACCACCGCTGGAGTTATCGGCGATGTCCAGGGAAAGATCGACGAAATCCTGTCTGCTGTTCCTCAGTAAAACAGTCAACAAGTTATTCGACAAAAAGCAAGACGAACACCGGAGAATAGGAGACGGGGGGTGGCTTGGCCGGCAGATGTACCCCACACAAAGATTGAAAACAAGGGAGGCCGCGGTAATGGGAACTAATAGGATCGGCGCTTAAGGAACGTGAACTTATAATTAGCGGGGGAAATAATTGGTAATTGTGAAAAGTGTTGAACTCTAAAGGAGCCCCTGAGGCATGAATCTATTAATTGCTTAGAAGCTAATTGAAAACCATCATCGCCCACGAAAATGTGCCAAGTCGCGCTGATCATCTTCGCCCGAACGTGCCACACGGTGATTACTACACATGACTCCCATCAAAAAGGTCTGTTCCCTATTCCCTGGCCGTAATACGGCCGTCCGAGAGTCCGTCTTTCACGTTGTTTTAGAGTTAGGCCCTCCTGATGATATTATTGGGGCGCGCCAACGGCGTCTCCTAGCAATTACTCTCAAACCGCCAAGTGGCACTGACCTGAGTCGCTCCAAACTCTGCGCCTTACGAAGCCCTCTCTGAGCCATAAAGGCCAATGGTCTCCCGCCTTACTGATCAGTGTCTTTGATGCTTGCCACCCAACTCCAATCGGTCATTCACTCACTCTCTTTAAACCAAAGTCCAACTCAACCAGTCAGTCTTTTAGTCATTCGTTTCCCACAACAACAATCCATCAACATGATGTTCATTCACTCCTTCATCGTCGCTCTCGCTGCCCTCGGCGCTTCTGCCGCCCCGGCTCCGCAAACCTCCGGCACCCCCGACGCCCCGGCGGAGGACCGCTGCTCCGGCGTCACCTGCCCTGAAAACTCATACTGCAAAGTCTTTGACTTCCGCCTCGAGAAGCCCGTCGCTTGCCAGGCGAACGGCACCGTATCAGAGGAGTCCCAGGCGTGTGGTAGCGTCATCTGCCCTATCGGCACGACCTGCTGCAACTCATCCTGCGGCGTCTGCGCCAAGCCGGAGGAGTCGTGCCTGCAATGGGTTTGCTAGTGGTCGTTCTCGAGCGGCACTCGGAATCACCAGGCATCTTTTTCAAGCGGAGTTGAGGCGTTTAGGACGGTCTTCTCATAACAACAAATTGGTCGCGATTACCGTCGCAGAGTTGGCAGCATTGCAAGGCCCCCATCAAGATATCCCACGACAAATTGAAAATTACTTCCACGCAATAATTCGCAGTGCACATCGTGACGTTTCTTCACATCAAAGTGACTTTCTTGGCGACCCATGTCACAAAATGAGGACAGGGTACGCGCTGCTTCTTTCGCTCTTTTGACAACGGCCTCACCGAAGCAAATAATGAGGGTCAATGCGGAGTCCTTGACATGGATTCGAAAACGTGCGGCGATGCAAGCCGTCATTGAATTCAATGTAGAATGCGAGAATACTTCAAACACTCCTTCTTTAAAGATGTTACATCTGTCACAAATGAGCCACTTCCAATGGTCCATGAAGAGAGTCCCCCCTTCCCTTCGGCGCTGACCGTAAACTCGAGGGACCAAAACACTGGAAGGGGTAAACCCCACAATCCGGCACTCATCTGAACTGAGTCGTCTGATGTTCACCCGTATGCTAAGCCTTAGTGATGGGGAACTCTGGTGTCTGGGTCATCCCTGTCTCCGCATAGTACCTCTCCCAGTGATTGACAAGCCGGCGCATCACCTCGGGCTCTTTGTCTGACACATCGTTCATCTCGGCCGGGTCCTTCTCGACGTCATATAGCTCCCAATCGTCCTTTCCCCTGGGCTTGTTGAGCCAGACTGCCTTCCACTTGCCCTCGCGAATGGCTCTGAGACCGAAAAGCTCCCAACCGTGAACATGAACATCCTCTCCATGCACTGTCGAGTCGGCTGCGCAGTAGTCTGGGGAGGACAGGTGGGACACCCAGGACTTGCCGCGGGGTATGACGACTTCGCGGCCCCTGAACGAGGTTCCGGGATGCTGTACTTGAGCCATTTCTAGGATGGTAGGGAGAATGTCCATGACTGTTGTGAAACGATGGGTGATGGCTTCTTCCTTAGCTTGGAAAGGGGGGTATCTGATGAGACATGGGCATCGAATGCCGCCTTCGGTAATCCAGCACTTGGATCCTCTAGATGGTGCGGTCGCTGCGCAAGCCCATCGAGCTCCTAGGTTCTCGTCAGATGCTACCTTTGGTGGGAAGATGCTGAGGGTGGTTCGAGTCACTGACCATACCAAGAGAAGGATGATTTCTCCCCGATGTTATCAAGGCTATTGTCGTAGTACTTTTGAATCACGCCGGCAAAAGTTGTTTCTCCGCCCATCATCTGCGACGATTGTCAGAGCGGTCAAAAGACGAGTTTGCGGGAATGGCGCATGACTTACGGGAATTGCTTCCAGCGCCGCTCCTTCAGCTCCGTTATCAGACATGAAGAGCACGAACGTGTTGTCGAGTTCGCCAGTGGACTCGAGGTGGTCAATCACTCGGCCGATATTCTCGTCGATCAGCTCAACCATCGCAGCAAAGACTTCCATTTTCCTTGCTGACTCCTTGCGCTCAAGGTCCGACAAGTCCTTCCAATCCTTGCCCAAAACGCCGGTGGGGGGCGCGTGTTCGATGCCCTTGTCCACAAGGCCTAACTCTACGAGCCGTTGCAAACGATGTTGGGTCAGAGCGTCTGGTCCATCATCGTACTTTCCAGCTGTGATCATTAGCAGCCATTCACTGGGAAAGGTAATCTTCAACTTACCATACTTCTCGACAACCTCACGAGGAGCTTGGAGGGGCCAATGAGGGGCAGTGAACGGGAGGTAGGCAAAGAAAGGCTCGTCTTTCTCCTTTTCATTCCTCTCTTCCAGGAACTTGATCATGCGGTCGGTGAAATACCTTGTCGAGTAAAAGTCCTTAGGGAGGTCCGTTCTGTGGTTAATGAACTTGTCACCGTCCATCCAGTGGCCTTCGGTGTTGAGACATGGAATCTTAAACTCGGCATCGTCAAGCTGAGGCTCGTATGCGTGGTGGTTCCCAGATCCGGGCAAGAAGGAAAAGCTCTTGGTAAACCCGCGGCTACATGGAGCAAGTTCTTTGGACAAGCCGAGATGCCTACGCCATTGATCAGCATGTATTCAGATGTCTTCAGCACCGATCGGCACTTGTTCGCACTAACCATTTTCCAGACATAATCGTGTGATAACCATTGTCCTGAAGAATCTCGGACAGAGCTGCCACTCTCCAATTCAGGTACCCCTCATAACCGGGCTTGTCCTTGAAGTAGTCACCGAAATGCCGCATGTGCTCCATCATTTGGCCTACGCGCTGTCAGCCATTTATTGTCGGGAAGTCTCTAATTGAGAACGCACCAAGTCCTGCGATGTGATTGTCGGTTCCAGAGAACAGCATTGAGCGGGTGGGAGAACATGCTGATGCCGTGTGAAAGTTGGTCATGCGAATGCCGTCCTTCGATAATTTCTTCAACACGGGCGTGTTGATCTCTCCACCATAGGGGCTGATATCAGAGAAACCGAGGTCATCGGCAACGATAACCAGGAAGTTTGGTCGTTTGCTTGCCATCTTGAAAGTGCGGGGGTTCAGGAATTGGAGTAAGCAGATGGCGGGCTGGGAACTGGCGGTGGTGCTGCTGAAGAACTTCTCACCGCGGCAAGATCAATGGCGACTAGAACATTCAAATCCAAACAGCATGTCGCAATCACATTTTAAGCTGACGCAATGACTGCTAGTTCTCATCTGGAAATTATTTTCCTGATCTTTGAGGTGCTGAAACTGCAAGGAAATGGAGTCTGCGTAAGTCGTTCCAAATCCGCGGGTAATTCAGAGGTTATCTCCCCGTGCTTCCCCGTTGACGATCAAAAAGTGGTGGCATCAACCCCACACTCGAGATCCGCCGAGATCCGGGGGTGGGAACTGCAACAACATCGTGACCAGTGATGTAGCCCGCTGTATCATCCTTGTGTTTCCTCTTGACATGCTGTCGAGACTGATATTTGGGTAGCTCAGAAAGCCTTTCACATGTTCAACATTCAGACAATCAGCATGATCTCAGGGGCCCTGGTAAAATCAAAGACAGCATGTCTTACCCAGCACAAATCTCGCAAAATTGCCAATGAAATGTCCCCAGATGAATGTTTTACTCCATAAAAAATTCGAATGTGTTCTTTGACTGTCCGCAAGCGTAAATCATCATTCTTCGACAAAGGTTGGGCATTGCCCGTTCCTGGCGGGCAGTGTCAACGGGGAAGGACGGGGAGAATGTTCCTGAGACACGGACACTATGTCGATTTCGGTTTAGTCCAGGATCTCCTCCTGACACTAGTGGGGGCGGGGACCCATCACGAGGGCAGCTCGCTTGGCATCTCGAGTCACAACTTTGCACGTTGATGCTGGGTCAACTTCTCCGGCATCCAACTTTCTCGACTTCAAGGCCGGCAAATCGTCAATCGAAGTCGTTATGGCGCAATTGCAACCCGGAAAGTTGCAAGATGTCAGCTCTCCGGGATGGTCGGTATAAAATCGGCTCAGTCGACTCTTCGCGGAGAGTGAGACAGTTGAGCCGGGCTGGACAACGACAATCTCTCCGGCAGAATCATTCATCATGTTGGGCCATCTGAAGTTGAGAAAGACCTTCAACAGGTCATTGTTCACCACGGTGATGTTGATCGCGGTGTCTCAATTCAACTTCGGCTTCGACCAACAGGGCTTCAACTCTACCCAAGCCATGGACGCCTTTGAACGCCAGTTTGGGTGGTACAACCCTCACAAGAAGGTGTACTACCTGGAAAGCTGGTGGCTCTCACTCTTTGCAGGCTTGCCCTACATTGGTTTTGGGATAGGTAAGAGAATTTAGCGGTTGTATGAGGCAACCCTGAGATTGGCATTGGATGTTGATAGGCATCTTGATCGGAAGCTCCGTAAGCAAACGGTTCGGCAGACGCATGTGCATGTTTTCCATGAGCGTATGGTCTTGCATCGCCACAACGGTCATCATGACGTCCAAGAGCCGAGATCAGATACTGGCAGCTCGCATCCTGGCATACATCTACATCGGAATGGAGCTAGCCGTGGTACCCATCTACCAATCCGAGATCACACCCCAGTGCGCCCGCGGGTTTGTGGTCGGGACATACCAACTAAGTCTTGCAGTACGTATTCGTTCTCAAAAATGAACGGACACAATACTGACGTGGATAGGTTGGGGGCTTGGTCGTCAATGTTGTTGCGCGGGGAACGGGTAGTCTGAACTCGTCGGCCGCGTACCTGATCCCATATGGGCTCTTCTATCTAGTGCCGCTGATAGTGATAGCTGGCATTTGGTTGGTCCCAGAGGTATGTGCCCCCAGTTTTAGAGTCTCGCAGCCGGTGGCATTTTGACCTTACTCGTCTATAGTCTCCCAGATGGCTTGCTATGCAAGGTCGAAACGAAGAAGCCCTCATCGCCCTCACTCGCCTCCGCGAAGGCAAGTTTACCGAAGACGAGATCGCCGCTGAAATGGCCCACATTCGCGCCGGGATAGACAGAGAAGTCGAGAAGGGCAAATTCAAGGACATGTTCCATGGAAAGCAAATGACCAAGCGCACCATGTCCGTCATCGGCGTCAACTTCTTCATGCAGGCAACAGGCTCCATCTTCGCCAGCGTATACGGCGCCATCTTTGTCAAACAACTCGGCTTCATCAACCCCTTCACCGTAACGATCATTACATCAATCATCAACATCTTCATGTGCCTGTGCGCAATGGTCTTGCTGGACAAGATGGGACGGAGGTAAGTTTGTGCTCTCACCTGCTGCGCCCCGCAAGGATTCTCCCAAATAGTTGCAAGACCGATTGGCTGACGCGGACACCAACATCGCAGGAATGTCATCTTCTTCGGCGGATCGATTCAGACGGCCGGTCTGTTCGCCATGGGTGGTCTCGGACTCACCCAAAACCCAAGCGTTCCCGTCAAGTCTGCCATCGTCGCCATGATGATTGTCATGACCACTGGCTTCACCCTGGGATGGGCGCCCACTTCGCACGTCCTGTCTGCCGAGATTCCGAGCATGCGTCTTCGTGATATCACGTATCGTACCGCCAGCGTTGTCAACATTGTAATGCAGTTCACCATCGCATTTACGCTGCCATATCTTCTGAACGCACCATATGCAAACCTGGGGTCAAAGGTCGGTCTGATCTTCGGCAGTATCGGTTTTCTGTCTCTGGTGTTTGTCTATTTGTGCGTCCCGGAGTGCAAGGGCCGAACGCTTGAGGAAATTGATACGCTGTTTGAAATGGAAGTTCCTTTGCGGAAATTTCAGAAGATGGACTTGTCACGGGTGGATGCACACGTCAGCAGTAATAAGCAGGATGTAGAAACAGGGTCAGATGTTGTCGTGGCCCTCCATGTGGGAGGAAAGGACTAGTATACACGATCCTTGAGGAAGAATCCTTAGCCTAGATGACTTTGCAAACCACTTTGGAATTTCAATCACATCTCACTCAGGAGGAAAAATGTTTATAAGTCAAAACCAGTTTGATTAAGGCGTCTATCCAATAGCAATCTTCCCTAAACAGTACAGAAGTACTTCCACACAGGCCAGATCCAATTGCCGAAGGAGTGACGCTTTCCTCAATACTCCAAAGCACAACCGTAACATCATAAGACTAAATCAGACTACCATTATCCTCCACTTTTACCCGGTGTATCGCAGCGCACTATCTTAACAAGTCATCCAATCATGCATATGTGTATTGTATACCGCTTTGTAGGCAAAGACCCAGCCAGGCAAGACGTTTAGAGCATGAAAGCGCCGAGGGCGAAGGCGCCAGCGACGGCAAGGCCAGCAGCGCCGAGGACGCTGTTGCTGCCGGGGGCAACGACGCCAGCAGCGGCGTTGGGGGAGCCAGTCTCGCGGCCACCGCCGATGGTGGAGGTGGCGATGGAAGGGAAGCCACCACCGTTGGAGGTGAGGAAGGTGGTGGTGCGAGCCTCGGAGGTGCGGGAGCGCTCGGAAGTAGGAGCGGGAGTGGCACCGCCGCCGATGGTGGTGGTCAGCTGAGAGCTGGCAGTCAGGCGGGTAGCCAAGACAATGACGGTGTTGGCGGAAGAGGTGGCGGAGGAGGCGTAGGAAGTGGACTGGAAGCCGCACTGGCTCATGATGGAGTTGATACCTATGGTGGAAAGAGTAAGTCTATGTGTACAAGCTTGCGAAGATGTTCAGATTGCTCACCCTCAAGGCTGCGCTGCTGGTCGCTGGCAACCTTCTCGTTCATGCAAGAGGAGCACTGAGCAGCCAGGTTCTTGACATCGAAAGAGCTGTTGGTGCAGACGCACTGGGCGTCAAGCTCATCCTGAAGCTGGTCGCTGTTGTTGTTGGTCTGGCCGGGGATGAAGTTGACGGTGCAGATGTTGCCAAGGTCGCGGATGGGGCGGCAGATGGCAGTGCAGTCGGAGGGGATGTCGTTGGTGTTGAGGCGGAGGTCAGCGTTGACAACCGCGGCAATGGCGGAGAGGGCGACGATCTTGGCCTGCATTTTGAAGGTTGGGGGGTTGTTGTTGAGGTGAGGGGTGTTGAACAAGTTGGAAATGCTGAGCGAGCGTTGAAATGAGCCGAGGCTGCTAAGAGTTGTAAAGGGCGAGAGACTAGCTGTCGAAGGCGAAGTGAAGCTGATTGTGCGTGATGAGGTGAGAGAGAAGATTGGGTAGAGACGGGATCGTGATAGGATATTTATGTTCTGGGTGTCAACAGTTCATGCCCTGCGTGAACGGTGCTCCTTCTGCTCCTCCTCTTCCCACACTGCAGGGCCGGAGATCCGCTTCGGCATCACACGGGAGGCCCCTAGGCGTCGAAACAGCCGGCAGCTTGTGCCATGACAAGACGAAGAGTGGCACTGATGGGAGAAGGAAGCAGACAGAGGTTCTCCGGTCACAGGCAGGGCTGTGGTGGTGGGCATTGCCAAGCTGCATGGCAGAGGCCCCGAGCTGTCCAAGCCTCAGACCAAGAAGTCATTGACGCTATCGGGAACCCGAAGTGTTCAGCCAAAAGAGGAGCATAGTGTCTCGTTCCTGGAGCAGAGAAGTACCTTTTGCAGCGTTCTAGGCGCAGGGCGCAGTGCAGCACAGGACGGCCCAAGAGCATCTGCAGCTGTAGGCAGCGTCTTGTCGAAGCATAGCATCGTGAAACGTCTTTCTCGCTTGTCAACCGTGTCTGTCGCCTCTGTTCTCCACGTGAACCGACATGGACTAGTGCCATTGCTCAAACCTTGTTGTTAGCGTATCCCGGTAGTCTATCTTGAGTCCTCCAAGCTAAGGGACTTGAGGGTCCTCGCCAGCCATTCCTGGGAGAGCGAGGTACCATGCAGGGAGAAGAAGAGTCAACGCACGTCGTTATTTGGCAGAAGAGATTCTGCGGCGCATTGCCCTGATCCCAGTCCTCTCCTGCTCGTCCAGAGGCCCATCACGGCATGGTGCTGGAACCGATTGTTTGGTCTTCATCTTGAGGGCGACCGTCTGAGCTCCATGTTGAAATCCTCCATGGTAAAAAGGGATCAAGATAATTCAAGGGTTGAGCAATGCTC